CCTGTTGCGGAGCACAGGCTCCGGATGCACAGGCTCAGCGGCCATGGCTCACGGGCCCAGCCACTCCGCGGCATGTGGGATCTTCCCGGACCGGGGCACGAACCCGTGTCCCCTGCATCAGCAGGCAGACTCTCAACCGCTGCGCCACCAGAGAAGCCCTATTTCATTCTTTTTATGGCTGAGTAGTATTCCATTGTATATATATGCCATATCTTCTTTATCATTCATCTGTTGATGGACACTTAGGTTGCTTCCATGTCTTGGCTATTGTAAAGAGTGCTGTAATGAACACTGAGGTGCATGTATTTTTTTGAATTAGAGTTTTCTCTGGATTTATGCCCAGGAGTGGGATTGATGTATCATATGGCAACTCTAGTTTTAGCTTTTTAAGGAACCTCCGTACTGTTTTCCATAGTGGCTGCACCAATTTTCATTCAGGACTAGGATTTTCAAACTCAAGTGTGTCTGACCCTAAAGTCCAAGTTCCTTGCTAGGCTGAAGGATATTACTGAGGACAATCAGTGAATGAAGGAGTAAAGGGATGCAACCGAGAGGCCTAATGAAAGGGCTGGGGATGTCCTCCACGATTGTGTTTGGTGCCTTGATTGCTCAGGGAGGCTACAAGGTATGAGGTCCAGAAATGTGGAGCTTTGGGATGATTCTTTAGAGGCCATATTCCTCCGTTCCTCAAACTCTCACTTCCTCAACAGGACATACAAGACCATCTGCGATCCATTTCCACGCCACCTCTCTTTTCCCTACAACACCAGGCATGTTCCTACTTTCCCACCATGATATCCCCTATTCTCCTCGTCTTCCCTTATTCATCTTGGAAATCCTTCTTCTTCTGAGGCTCCCCCCGCCCCGGAGGGAAGCCTTCCCAGACTGCCTCTTTCAGAAGTATTTGTTCCTTCCCCCAACCAAGAACACACTATTTCTACCTCTACTGAAAACAGACCCTGTTACTCTGTGTCACTATAAGTCATTGGCAAACCTGGCTCCCTCCCTAGATTGAGTTCCTTGAGGATGTGGCTGGACTCTTATACTTCTACAGCCCCTCCAATGCCTGGAAAGCTGCTCTTGTTCCTCCACCTACGACTTCTGTACAACTCACTCTTGGTGCCCCATCCATATCTCCTCAGCATACTCCTCTATTCCTGAAGGCTGCTCACCACACACCTGCAACTCTGCACTGGGTTGTTTTTTCTGACCCTATCCTTCCACACACTTGGCCTCTGTGTTAATGTTCCTGGGAGCAGCCCTCACCTAACCACTGATGGAGCTGGTGGATAGAACCCCAGCTCCTGGCCCCTCAGCAGGGACAGTTCTGATGCACATTCTATACTTCCTCCCAGATCATCCCCAGCAGGATTGAGCACCAACAGTCCCCCACACCGGCCAGCCCCCAGGAGACACCAAGAGATGTTTCCTGGACTGCGCTGAATTGCAGATCCCTAGAATGAAGAAGCCCAGTGTCATTTATTAAAAGATCAAAGGTGAGATGGTTTCTCCCAACTTCTAGGCCATCTGAGCATTTTGGAGCTGAATTAATGTTGGCATCCTATTCAGTCAAGTTGCTTACCAAAGAGATGGAGCCCTTGCTGGACCCGGTCACCATCTTTCTTTGTTTGTGGACTGAGACCCCACAGGTAAGTGTTTCTTCTTTGGTGCTGGACAAATGTTGCTTCCTTTGCAGTGTTCCTGTGGCTGAACTCCACAGACTGACCACGTCACCCTGCGACACCATCAACAGCGTGGCCCTGGAAGCCAGCACTGCCGTGTACACCCAGGGGTCAGAGGCATCCCCCAGGATATGGAAAATCAGCTCTTCAGTTTCCAGATTCCAAGCATTGGTCTAAAGGAATGATGAAAAGAAAGAGCCATGTCAGAGGGAGACCTAGTCTGCAAGTTTTCCAGAGTCGAATGCAAGACCTCTTCTTTTTTTTTTTTTGTCATTGCAATTAAAAAATTTTTTTATCTTTGTACAATTTTGTAAAGTTCCCTTCCTTTACAGTTATTACAAAATATTGGCTATATTAAGACCTATTTTTTTTTATAGTTCATGCATCTTATCGTCGACACTCTGTCAGTTTTTAAAAAAGGAGTGGGGAAGGGGGAGGGATCCTGGATTGGATCTTGGAATGGCACAAGGACGTTCATGAAAAAATGGATAAAATCCAAATAAATCCTGGAACTGAGTTGATAGTAATTGTCAATATTAATGTCTTAGTTTTGACAAATGTACACTGGTTATATAAGATGTTGACTTTGGAGAAGGCTGGAACAAGGCCATACGGGAACTCTCTCTACTATCTTTATAGCTTTTCCATAAATCTAAAATTGTTCTAAAACAAAAAGTTTTAAAAATAGAAGAACAGTCAGCTATGCCATGTGCCTATATGTTCATTCCAAGTAACTGCCGATTAATAATTAAAGAGGTTTCATTTTTAACCTTACCCCCCAAAGTACCTTTTTATCAGCAGTAATCATTTAAATAGTAAACATTTCCCATTAATTTTATTTGTGGGACTTACACTAAAGAAATAAGGAGAGATACACACAAAGATATACGTACAAGGAAAGTTACCTCAGCTATTTGAAAGTGCAAAGAAATGGAAACAACCTACATGTCCAGTAATGAGGGATTAGCTAAATAAACTACAGCAGAGCCATGTAACGGAATCTTATGAAATCACTAATCATGCTGTTTTTGAAGAATGTTTAAGGTTTTGGGCAAAAATAGCTTTATAAAACTGCTTAGGGACTTCCCTGGTGGCACAGTGTGTAAGAATCCACCTGCCAATGCAGGGGACATGGGTGCGATCCCTGGTCTGGGAAGATCCCACATGCCTCAGAGCAACTAAGCCCATGTGCCACAACTACTGAGCCTGCACTCTAGAGCACACACGCCACAACTACTGAGTCCGCACCTAGAGCCTGTGCTCCACAGTAAGAGAAACCACCGCAGTGAGAAGCCTGCACACTGCAACGAAGAATAGCCCCCACTCTCCACTGCTAGAGAAAGCCCTCGCACAGCAATGAAGACCCAATGCAGTCAAAAATAAATAAATTTATTTATTTTAAAAAACTGTGTATATGGTTTTATCCCCATTTTGTTTCATACACACATGCACATGTGCATACACACACATGCACCACGTAAAGCAAAATCATGTAAATGTTAATAATGGTAATGTTTGTAATTATTTATTATATATTATTTCTTTACTGTATTTTCCAAACTTTTGCTGATAACAAAGCTGATTTCTATAATCAGTCTTGAAATCAACCCACACTTCTGTAATATTTAAGCCTACATTGTCCAATAAAACTATAATGCAAGCCACACATGACTTTATATTTTTTATTAGCCACCTTAAAAAAGGTAAAAAGAAACAAGTGATATCAATTTCAATGATATACTTTATTTAACCCGGTATATCCAAATGTTATCATTTCAACATGTAATCGATATAAAATTATTATTGAAATATTTTACTTTTCTTTATGATACTGAGTCTTTGAAATCCACTGTGTGTTTTATACTTACAGCACATCTCAATTTGGAATAGCCACATTTCAAGTGCTCAATAACCACATCTAGCTGGTGGTTCTCCACTTTGGACAGCATAGTTTGTAAGCTACCAATATTACTTACATTAACAACCATCAATTACTAATAAAATAGAATAATAGCTATTAATTGTTTGTTGCTTACAATGTACCCAACACTATGAAGGGTGTTTTACATTCATTATCTCATGAGGTAGAGGAAGAATTGAGGCAGAGAGGTGAGGTGATACAATCAAGATTACTCAGCTTGCAAAGAAGTCAACTGGGACTTAGATACAGATTTGGCCCATGCCTTTAATTGCTAAGCTTTAACCCATTATTCTGTTGTGTGTTTCTATTCATAAAATGATCAGATTATAGAGTTATGATTGACATGATGGAATAACACAGCAGAAAACATATTGTTTTCAGATGCATGTGGAACATTTACCAAAAGAGCATTTCAATAAATTTGAAAGGATTCACATAATGCAAATGGAATTATATTAGGAAAAAAATAAGAGAACACTATCTGGGAACCTCTCAAATATTTGGAAATGAATATCACACTGCTAAATAGCCCATAGATCAAAGAAGAAATCAAAAGGGAAATGCTAAAAATATTTTGAACTGAATGTAAATGATAATATAACATATCAAAGTTCATGGGATGTAGGTAAAGCAGTACTCAGAGGGAAATTTATAGCACTAAAGACATGACTACATTAAAAAATGGTGAAAGGTCTTAACCCTTAGGATCAGAAAGATCTATCAAGATCATCTAATCCAACTATAAGTTTTGAAGCCCTTTATGGCACCCTCTCAAGTAGTTGTGTACCTCTGTTTACAGTCCCCCTGTCCCATATCAGGGAGACCCTCCTTATATAAACACCATATGCCACCTTTGACTGCTCTGGTCTCAGCTTTACTTTGCAAACAGGGCAAGTGTTTGTTACCTTTGAGTTAGATGCTGAATACACAACCTTCTTTGCTTCATCCACATGAAGGCTCGAGATCTGAGGTTCAGTGGGAACTTCTGAGCCTCCATCCCAAATGGTGAATTTCTCCTGGTCAGAGAGTAAGTTTCACAAGCACAGGGTGTGATCCTTCGAGGTAGAGATGGCAAGCGATCCTTTGGCAAACACTTTCACACACCTCACCTCTCCTGCAGCAGGTCAGGGTGGAGGATAGTATATTAGCTGGGAACATTTTGACCTTCCAACTACCATAACCTCTGCTGGCTTAGAAATTCCCTGGTTTCCCAAAGGAAAGATGGATAGATTAGAACATATCCAAATTACAAACAATGGAATGTGGCAAAGCTAAACTGAGTGTAACAACTGGTTGGGATTAAATCAATTGCCCAAATGTTGAATCTGTATTAAATAGAGATCATTGAAATGTATAAAAGGTTATCATCATCCAGGGAGTATTTAAAATTAATAAACAAAAAGTAAACCAAAATAAAATTATAAGAGAAGATTTCATACTCCTGGAGAGATAGTTTTCTAAGGAGAACAAAATTTGGAAGACATAAAGGGGAAAAATTGACAAACTGGATTACATAAAAGTGTAAAATTTCAGGAGGATAAACTTGAAAGGCATATGACACATTAGGAGGAAATATTTGCAGTATATAACAGATAAATGGAGACCCTCTTTAATAAAAAAAGAGTTCTTACAAATAAGCAACAGAAACGCAAACAACTTACAAATTGGACAAATCATATAACAAGAGATTTACAGAAATAGTACAAGTGGACAATAAACATTTGAAAATGATGTTCAATCTCACTAGAAGTCACAAAATGCAACATGAAATACCAATATCATTATTATCCATAGTATTGGCAAAAACTATGAATTAATTGCTGGAGCGCTGGCAAAGGTACAAGAAATCAGTTAATCTCATACCATGCTGATGGGAGTATAAGTTGATATAAATTTGCAGAAGGGTAATTTGGTGACATTTATTAAAAGTTAAAATGTGCAATATCTTGGTTTTGATAATATACTATAGTTATGTAAGACATTGCTAGCCTGGAAAGGTAGATAAAAGGTACACAGGAATTCTCTGTACTATTTCAGCAACTTTCTCTGAGTCTACAGTTAATTTTAGAATAAAAAGCTAAGAAAAAGAGGGGAAAAGGAACAACGTGCATACAATTTGACTCAGAAATCCCACTTCCAGGAATGTGTCTTACAGAAATAATAGCATAAGTGTGTGAAGATGGAGAAGGACTTTAAATGCAACACTGTCTGTGTAAAAAGAAAACTGAGGGCTTCCCTGGTGGCGCAGTGGTTGAGCGTCCGCCTGCCGATGCAGAGGACGTGGGTTCGTGCCCCGGTCTGGGAAGATCCCACATGCCGCGGCGCGGCTAGGCCCGTGAGGCATGGCTGCTAAGCCCGCACGTCCGGAGCCTGTGCTCCACAATGGGAGAAGCCACAACAGTGAGAGGCCCGCGTACCGCAAAAAAAAAAAAAGAAGAAAGAAAAAGAAAACGGAAAACAACCTGTCTATGAAAAGGGAGTTGGTTAAGTAATATGGTACATCCATGTAAAGAATATTAGGCAGGCATTAAAAATAATAAAATGGATATATACATACACCTAATAATAATTACTATTACAACAGCCAATACTTAGTGTTTTCTGTGTGCCAAACATAGTTGTAAGTGGTTAACATGCATTAAACTCTTTTAATCTCATGACAGCTCGTGAGGTACTATTGTTATCCCATTGTATAGATGGGGAAACTGAGCCACAGCTCAGTACAGTAACTTATCCAAAGCCACATGGCTAATAAGTAATGGAGGTAGGATCTCAGCTTGGAGTCCAGGCTCTCAATCACCACAAAACATTGTTACAACCTACTGCAACAAAAGCAAGTTGCAACCCAGTATATAAAACAGCATGATGTAATTTTTGACAAAAGCTCAAAGGACAGAGCTATGTCTGCATAAACCTAGAGAAAAATTGCTAATGGCATATAACAGACTGTCTGCACTGATCACTTCCCGGGGGACACTGAAGGGTGAGCGGAGAGTAAAGGAAGGGAATTTTACTTTAGAATTCATATGCCAGCAGTATTAGGGGTGATTTTTATTTCTTAAAATTGTGGTATTTTTCAACCAAAATTTCTATAAATAGTAATGCTTTATAATATATCCCCATACATAGGATACTATATCACTGCTAAAGTGAATTAGAGATGTATACATGATATGGAAAGAGGCAAAATCTGTGATGTTAACTAAAAAAAAAAAAAGACCATGGTTATATATAGTCATATAAGCTTGTGCAACCTGTTTATTGGAGATATATATATATATATATATATATATATATATGCAGTTGTAAAGAGATGGTCAGTAACACACCATTTCCATCACATGGATATAACAGCCAAGAAGAGAGATAAGAGTAGAGTGTGGTAAAATATTTAGAAAGTGATGAGCTTTGAGTATGTATTACCTTGTTTTAATATAATCTATTTAATTGTATGTTTCTATAATTTAATGTTTAAGAATGACTGTGTTTGGACATAGAGAACAGACTTGTGGTTGCCAAGGGGGAGAGAGAAGTTGGGGAGGGATGGACTGGGAGTTTGGGGTTAGTAGATGCAAACTTACATACAGAATGGATAAACAACAAGGTCTTACTGTATAGCACAGGGAACTATATTCAATATACTGGGATAAACCATGATGGAAAAGAATACAAAAAAGAATGTATATAGGGCTTCCCTGGTGGCGCAGTGGATGAGAGTCCGCCTGTCGATGCAGGGGACACGGGTTCGTGCCCTGGTCCGGGAAGATCCCACATGCCGCGGAGCGGCTCCATGGCCGCTGGGCCTGCGCGTCCGGAGCCTGTGCTCTGCAACGGGAGAGGCCCGCGTACCGAAAAAAATAAATAAATAAAATAAAAATAAAAGAATGTATATATGTGTATAACTGAGTTACTTTGCTGTACAGCAGAAATTAACACAACATTGTAAATATATTATACTTCAATAAAAAAAAATTAAAAAAAAGAATGGCTGTGTTTGACAATCACCTCACCAAATTCTTGAAAATTTCAGACAGCTCTCACAAGCCAGTACCAACCACCTCCAGCATGCTGTCACAGGATCGGAAACTTTCACTTCCCCCATTATGTAGGTCTAAAATATTTTTTTAGTAAATTGATTATTGAGCTTTTCTGATTACAAATAATAAGAGTTTGAGGACTTTAAAAACTGAATCAAGGTCACCATTGGTAAATGGGCTCAGGTCTTGAAGAGATGGCTCTCACACACAGATACAGAGATTGAATAGACCTCTAGGAAAATAGCTATCCTAATGATGATAAAATAGAGGGAATCTTATTTGACAGGTACTCTGTCAGTATCCACCCCACTCCAACCCCTCAGACAAAAAGAGTAAAATGAAAACATGTAATGCTGGGAGCTTTGGGGTTGGAGAGTGTTTTAATCTGTTACAATCTGTTTGGAAAGCAATAAGATAACACTTCTCAAAACCCATAAGAATGTTCATACCTTTCAATTCAAGAATACCACTCACTAGAAATACTCAGCAGAACGGAAAAATATTGGCAAGTGTAAAAACAGATTCATCCCAGTGTTATCCAAAGAGCAGATAGGGCTTCCCTGGTAGCACAGTGGTTGAGAGTCCGCCTGCCGATGCAGGGGACACGGGTTCGTGCCCCGGTCCGTGAAGATCCCACATGCTGTGGAGCGGCTGGGCCCGTGAGCCATGGCCGCTGAGCCTGCGCGTCCAGAGCCTGTGCTCCGCAAGGGGAGAGGCCACAACAGTGAGAGGCCAGCGTACCACAAAAAAAACAAAAACAAAAACAAATAGCAGATAACTAGAAATAGCCTAAATAGCCCCCAAAAAAATTTAAATAGTTTAATAAATTCTGGAACACGATCTATCGAGAGAAATGAAATAATTTTGGTGCAGTTAAGCATTATAAAGATTCAGTGAATCACAGCAGCATTATTCATAACAGCCCCAAACTGGGAGCAGTGTAAATGTCCTTCAAGTGATGAATGGATTAAAACCTCTGTTCGTTCCATGCAACGGAATACGGCTCAGCAATGCAAAGGAAAAACTAACCATACATGTAACAATACAGATGAACTCAAACAATGTTATGTGGAGTGAAAGAAGTCCCACGCCAAAGACCACATGCTATACAATTTCATTTATATGAAATGTCCAGAAAATACAAACCTGTAGACTCAGAAAGCATATGGTAGTTACCATGGGGCTGGGGGTGGGAAGAGGGATGGACTGCAAAGGGGGCAGGAGGGATCTCCTTAGGGTGATGGAAAGTGCTACAGCAGGATTACGGTGATGGTGGCACAATTTGATAAATTTACTACAAAATCATTGACTATATGTTTAAAACACGTGTATTGTATGGTATGTAAATTATACCTCAATAAAGTTGTTTTTAAAAAGATTCCATGAAAACAAAAGAATGCTTATGGCAAAATGTTGAGGAAAAAATAATAAAACCATGTACATACTGAGATTGCAATCATGTAATATTTTAACATCTTTATTGAGATATAATTCACAAGCATAAAATTCACCTATTCACGTACAACAGTATAATTCACTGTTCTGGGAAATGAACGTTCCCAGAATTGTGCAACCATCACCACAGGCTAGGTTTAGAGTATTTTCATAACCTCAAAAACTGTCACTCCCTCCCTTTTCTCTCCTTATCATTTAAACCATCTTAAATTGTATAATCAGTGATACCAGTACATTCACGATGTTGTGCAAACGTCACCTCTATCAGATTCCAGAACATTTTTGTCACCCAAAAAGGAAACCCCGTCCCCATTAGCAGTCTCTCTCCATCCCCCTTCCACCAGCCCCTGACAACCACTAAACTGCTTTCTGTCTCTCCAGATTTACCTGTTGCAGACATTTCATATAAATGAATCACATACAGTGCAGTCTTTTGCGAGTGGCTTCTTTCATTTGATACAGTATCCTAAGCTCCAGCCTTACAGCTTCCTTGCTGCTCTATCAATGTTCCAACCTCATCTTCTCAGGGTCTTTGCACTGGTTGTTTCCCACACCTGGGATGCTCTACCCTTCTGCCCTTTGCACACTTATTCATAGCCTTTGTATCTTGGCTGAGTGTCCCTGCTCAGAGAAATCCTTTCCCTAACTGCCCTAAGTCAGTCACTTTGGTTATTGTAGCTCATGACACCCTGTTTTCCTCATTACACTTATTGCAATTTGTAACTACACTTTTGTCCGGCTTGCCTTCTCAAATACATGGATCTGACTCAGGGCCGGGATCAGGGTGAGGCAAGTAAGGCACTTACCTCTGGTGCAAAGTTTAAGGAGGTACCAAATGGCTGAGTTTTCCTTTTGCCTCTCTCTTCAGTATGGATTACACAGCACTATTACTCATCCTGTCTTTAAGACAGGTTGATGTTTATTCATCGTGGATTGTTTTGCATTAATTTTTTGATTTTTAAAAGCATTTTTAAAAATTACATTTGCAGGACTTTCCGCAGTGGTTAAGAATCCGTCCTGCAATGCAGGGGACGCCAGTTTGATCCCTGGTCAGGGAACTAAGATCCCACATGCGGCGGGGCAACTAAAGCTCGCGCGCCACAACTAATGAGCCCACATGCTCTGGAGCCTGTGTGCTACAACTAGAGAAAAGCCCATGCACTGCAAGGAAGAGCCCGTGCGCCGAAACGAAAGGTCCCGCGTGCTGCAACTAAGACCCAATGCAGCCAATAAATAAATAAATAAATAAATGCATTCGGGAATTCCCCAGCGGTCCAGTGGTTAAGACTCCATGCTTCTGCTGCAGGGGGCATGGGTTTGATCCCTGGCTGGGGAACTAAGACCCTGCATGCTGTGTGGCACGGCCAAAGCAAAATAAATAAATAAAAAATAAACACATTGCATTGAAATATTATCATGATGACCAAGTTTTTTTTTTAACTTTGGGATGCTCCTAAATTTTACACCCAAGGAGTGTGCCTCACTCTCCTTACCCGAGTTTCGGCCCCAATCTGTCTCTCTTCAGCCTCAGATCAGGGCCTGGTACACAGTAAGCACTCACTAATTGTTGGAATGAACCAACCACAGCTGTGATGGTTTTGTAGAAATGAAAACGTTACTTAGGCTCTGAGAGACTGTGGTAGACAAATTGCATAAATGACCACAATCCTTTACCCTCCAAGATCTATACCTTGTGCAGTGTGACTTTGCTCCTCCCATCAAGAGATGAAGCCAATTTCCCTACCCATTGATTCTGGATTGTTCTTGGGACTTCCTTTGGCCAATAGAATGTGAAGGGGTGCCAGTTCCAAGGCCAGTTCCAGGCCTTCAGAGACCTTGTACACTTCTGCTTGCCCTCTTGAAACCCTGCCTCTGCCCAGGCTCACCAGCTGGAGGATGAGAGATCATGTGGAACAGAGTTGAGTTGTCTCAGCTAAGAACGTCCTGAACCAGCCAGCTTCCAGACACCCCATAACTGGCTACATATGCATGAGCAAGCCTGGCTGAGACCAGAAGAGCTGCCTGGCTGAGCCCAGCCTGAATTGCCCAGTCACAGAGGTGAGCTAAATAAACAGCTATTGTTTGAAGCTACTCTGCTTGGGGTGGGTTTTGTTTTTTCTTTTTCATATTCTTTTCCATTTTGGTTTATCACAGGATATTGAATATAGTTCCCTGTGCTATACAGTAGGACCTTGTTGTTTATCCATCCCATATATAATAGTTTGCATCTACTGGTCCCAAACTCCCCATCCAACCCTCCCCTGCCCCCCTTCCCCTTGGCAACCACAAGTCTGTTCTCTATGTCTGTGAGTCTGTTTCTGTTTTGTAGATAAGTTCATTTGTGTCATATTTTATATTCCACATATAAATGATATCATATGGTATTTGTCTTTCTCTTTCTGCCTTACTTCACTTAGTATGATCATCTCTAGGACCATCCATGTAGGTGCAAATGGCACCATGTCATTCTTTTTTATGGCTGAGTAATATTCCATTGTGTGTGTGTGTGTATATATATATATATATATATATATATATATATACACACCACATCTTCTTTGTCCATTCATCTGTCAATGAACGTGTAGGTTGTTGCCAAGTCTTGGCTATTTTCAATACTGCTGCTATGAACATAGGGGTGCATGTATCTTTTCAAATTACAGTTTTGTCCAGATATATGCCCAGGAGTAGGAATGCTGGATCACATGGCAACTTTAGTTTTAGTTTTTTGAGGAACCTCCATGCTATTCTCCACAGTGGCTGCACCAATTTATATTCCTGTTTGGGGTGTTTTGTTATGTGGCTATAGCTAGCTGATGCAGGAACAAAGGCCAGGGTTTTAATACAGAGAAATGAATTGGTAGTGAAGGGGCCCCAGGGGACTGATTGATTGCTGTGGGACTCTAGGAGGAAGCTGATCATAAACCCCACTTCCTGAGCCTCACCTGTGTGTCCAGGTAGGATGTGGATCACCTGCTGTTCTTCCATATCCCACACAGCTACCATGCTCTCCTGGGTGCCAACCACCAGCAGCTTCTCTTCCAGGCTCCGTGCCATGGCAGTGATGCCTGCAGCCACACAGAAACAAGAGTTCATGTGTCTGAGTGCTCAGCCATGAGGTACTCTAATGGGCCCCTCACTTCACAGATAAGGAAACTGGGGCACAGACAGAGTCACACACCTAGAAGTGGCAGAGCCAGGATTTCAAAGCCAGCGCTGTCAGACGCCAGATGAAGACTCTGGGTTGAAATGTTTATGTTGATCTGAGGTAGGAAAATGTGTCTCTAGTGTCTCTAGTTCAGCGGTTCCTACCCAGGGGCGATTCTGCCCCTCAGGGCACACTGAGAAATGTCTAGAGACATTTTTGGTTGTTACAGCTGGGGACCAGGATGCTACTGGCATCTGCTGGGTGGAGGCAGGGACGCTGCTCAACATCCTGCAGTGCACATGATGGCCCCACCCCAGAGAAGGATCCAGCCGCAAATGTCAGTGATGCATGGTTGAGTGCACAGTTGGAGAAGACTCAGGAATGGAATTATATTGGCTGAGAACCCTGCTTTCGACTTCTCTTTGAGCTTGAGCTGTGTGGGAAAAGAAGGGCTGGTGCCCCAAAGAAAAAAATATTTGCCAATAGTTTGAGCAAACACAGCCCAAGGCTCTCTGCTGGGTGGATCTTGATTGGATCATCGCTGAAGACAAACAGGGACCAAGTTACACTGGAGAAAACAGCCCGAATATCAGGAGGCCAGACTTTCTGAATGCCCTGATGCCTTTTCCTGCTCTGTGCCTCAGTTTCCTCATTTTTAAGGTGATGGGGAGGTGCTGAAATCAGAGCCAGTCAAGGTCTGAGAATCCAGAATTTTGTTTCTACCTCATCGGGACAGGGCATGAAGAGACGAGATTTTTTTTTCTTTCTTTTTTTCCCTTTTTTTTGGGGGGGGCGGATCACTCACTCACTGTGTGACCCTGGAAATGTGAACTCAAACTTCTCATTTTAAAAATGAAGAAACTGAAGCCCAGAGTGCGCAGGAACTTTCTCAACTTCAACATGACTAGAGCTCGTACAAGTGGCACATTTCCCTACTGAGATGAGAAAAAGAAAAAATTCACTTTGAGCTGTAACTTCCTTTGCCTACGCTGTGGCAGACATCACTAATCAATCACTGCACTCTCTGTGATTTGTCCCCCCCAATTGCCATTCTATCATGCTTCCTTCAGTAATAAAACCCACAGCCCACAGGTTTTAGGTGAGTACGTGGTTACTCAAAGACCATTTTTCCCAAGCTCCCTTACAGTTGAAGATGGCCAAGTTCTTAGCAGCACGACAGGAGCAGAAGTGGTAAGCTCTGCTTCAAGGCCATGCCTTTGAAGGGAAGGGGCCTGCCATCTACTTCTCCTTCCCTCTTCCCACTGGCTGGAATGCCATTGTGATGGTAAGAGCTGGAGCAGCTATTTTGGGCCATTAAATGGAAAGCTCACATTGAAAATGGCAGAGCAACAAATTTGAAAGAGTTTTGGTCCCTGACCCCCTGGAGATACCATATTACCTTTTCTTATGCCTGGACTATTGTGTGTGAGAGAAATGAACTCCTGTTTTATTTAAGCCACTGCTACTTTGGCCTTTGTTACAGCATCAGAACTTGTATTGTAACCAATATACCATTAAACCAGATTCAGTCTCAGAATCCTTCTCAACACAGCATTCTAGTAGCTGTCCCTAAATCAATTCTTCCATGCATTGTCCTTAGCATCTCTTAGAATTCCTGATTTGGAAGCTCTGTGCCTTGGGAGTGTAGCTTTCCCTACAAGGCTATGTGGCACAAAAATGGCCTGAGTCACAATAACTGGCATTTGAACCAAAGCTAACTGTATTCAATGATTAATGTGAGAGATTATGGGTGGGTAGATAAAGGGATGGATGAATGGAGGTGAACTGGTGGATAAGTGGACAGATAGATGGCTGGTTAGATGAGTGGGTGAGTGAATGTGTGGGTGTTAGATGGGTAACTGGATGAATTATTTGATAGATGGGTGGGTGAGTTGGCTGAGTGTGTGAAGGGGTAAAGCGAGGGGATAGGAGATGGCAAACTGGGGGAAATGGAAGGTAAGTGGTGTGGATAGAAGGGTGGAAGGAAGGGCGACTATTGGAAATACGGACAACTGATGGGTGAATGGATGAATGGGAAGGAAGGAAGGAATAAAGGAGGGAGGAAGGATGGAAGGACATACAGATGGATAGATGGAAGGAAAGGTGGAAGGATGAATGGATGGAGGGATGGGTGGAGGGATGAACAGACAGATGGACAGCTGGATGGAAGGAAGGAAGGAAGGATGGATGAAGAATGGATGGAGAGAACTAAATCCTCTTGTCCCTCTGACATTCTGGTGTCCCAGGGAGAACCTACAAGTTCCACCAGCCTCTCAGGGTCCAGTCAGGCACCAGTTCCTAGTTTCCAGACTTACTAGCATTAGGCTATAAATCTCAGAAGCTATCTATAAGACGGGCACCGAACTCTTAGAGATGAAACCCCAGAGGCAGTTGGCATGCCCTCGATCTGGGCTCATTAGCAGTATTTACACTAGTAATCTACAGTCCCTGGCAGGCAGAGGGAGCCGAGTCAGCATGAGACCGCAGGGCCAGATCCTGATGGCACCCTTGGGGCTTCCCAGCTGGCAGAGGGGAGACCCAGAGAGCAGCCCAAAACACCTGCAGTCCACTGCCCCCAGGCAGGCAGGGGCCTGGCGGGATTTTGGCTACGCTTGGGAGACTCACCTTTGTGACAGCCGGTGAGGGTTGCCTGGAGGGGTCCTCCCGGGGGCTGGAGGAATCCTCTGAGGGGCACCAGCACAGGGTGTGGGCACATCCGGAACCAGCTCTACACCTGTTGGCACAGCTGTCCCACCAGCGCCGGATGTGAGGTGGTGAAGAAATGGAGGCTGGCCAGGAGTTCCGTATACAGGATGCTTCTCTCTGCAACAGAGGAGATGCTGGTTAAGGGGAGGGGCCCTGCTTCCCTGGGTGGAGCCCCCCTCCTGCCTCCTTTTCTGTGCTCCACACATACTTGCCCCTACTTCAAGTGCACCAGGTGGCTTCCCCCTCTCCTACCCTAGACCTTGGGTTTCCAGATAGCAGGGAGGATGCCTGTCTTGTTCATTGCTATGTTCTGAGTGTCAGGCACCCAACAAGTGTCTGTTAGAGAAATAATGATCACTTCTCCAGCACTTCATAATTACTGAGTGGGTTAGTGTCCTGTGGCTGCTATAACAAGACAATCTGGGGGGCTTCAGACAACAGAACTTCCTTCTCTCACAGTTCTGGAGGCCAGAAGTCCGAAATCAAGGTGTCGGCAGGGCTGTGCTCCCTCCAGAGGCTCTGGGGGAGGATGCTTCCTTGCCTCTTCCAGCTTCTGGGGGCTTCAGGTGTTCCTTGGCTTGTGACCACATCACCACAATCTCTTTTTAAATTTTTAATTGTTTATACAATTTTAAAAGGTTACACTCCACTTACAGTTATTACAAAATATTGATTATATTCCGCATGTTGTACAATACATCCTTGAAGCCTATCTTACACCCAATAATTTGTACCTCCCATTCCCCCACCCCTATTTTGCCCCTCTACCATTCCCTCTCCCCACTGGTAACTACTAGTTTTTACTCTGTGTCTGTGAGTCTGCTTCTTTTTTGTTATATTCACTAGTATGTTGTATTTTTTTAGATTCCATGTACAATTGATATCATACAATATTTGTATTTCTCTAACTTATTTAGACTAATGCCCTCCAAGTCCATCCACGTTGCTGTAAATGGCAAAATTTAGTTCTTTTTATGGCTGAGTAGTATTCCATTGTATACATGTACCACATCTTCTTTATCCATTCATCTGTTGATGGACATTTAGGTGCTTCCATATTTTGGCAATTGTAAATAATGCTACTAGGAACATTGAGGCACATGTATCTTTTCGAATTAGTGTTTTTGTTTTGTTTTTTTTACCCAGGAATGGAATTACTGGCTCATATGGTAGTTCTATTTTTTAGTTTTTTTGAGAAACTTCCATGCTGTTTTCCACAGTGGCTGCAGCAATTGACATTCCCACCAGCAGTATAGAAGCGCATCATCCCAGTTTCTGCCTCTGTTTTCACATGGCCTTCTCATCTGTGCATCTCTGCATTTTCCCTTTTTCTGTTTCAAATCTCCCTCTGCTTCCTTCTTATTAGGACACTTGTGATTGAATTTTGGGCCCACCTAGATAATCCAGGATAAACTCTCCATCCCAAGAACCTTAATCACATTTTTTTTTTGCCATATAAAGTAATAGTCGTAGGTTCCAGGGATTAAGAAGTGACTATATCTTGGCAGGGGGTGGGGAGGTGGGGGGCAGATTTTTCTGTCTACCACACAGAGGTATCATCATTACTATCCCAAGTGCCCAAGCGTATAACAGGGAAAATTGAGGTATGAAGAAGTTAAGCAACTTACTCAAGGTCACACAGCCAGTAAGAGGCAGGAATCTGACCCCCAACGTTTGATTGCAATGCCAAGTGAAGACCAGGGACATTGAAGGTAGACAGTTCATTTTGTCCCTGTTGTTGGAGCATCCTAACTGTGGAGCCTGGGGCAATGGTGGCAGTGCCCTGTGCCTGGGTTTGCTGGTGGGTGGAATGGGGCAGGGCCAGAATCAGGGGCAAGTGCCCCACTCACCACGGGTACAAAAGTTAAAGTGGTGCCAACAAACTCAACCATCAAGATAAGTACTATTTTAATGCAATATTTAAAAAAATCAAAACTGATGCGCCCGCCCCCTCATCCATTATGAACAAAATATCCGTCTTTCAAAATAAAAACAGGGACAGAAATGGCACCACACCAAGTCATCCTGGAGCCTGAGGCAATGGGAGAAATAGGGAATACCAACGGGCTTTCAGGAGCTGGCCGTACACTACTGGAATGTGGTGAGAGCGCATGGTTGCTCAGCTGCGCCATCTGGTGGGGACATTCATTCCTACACCTCCTCCTTGTTCTGGGCAGCCACAGGTTGTCAATCAAGAAACACTGCAAAGAACATACTGTGATTTGGGCTTTTAAATCTTCCCTTAAACTGGGCATGTAAGCCCAAGGCTGTTTTCCTGGGAAATCACTCCTTTCGAGGTTTAAAACTGCTGGCGAGCGTGAATGTAGGAGAAAGGTGTAACTGATCATGGGCACCAGTATCTCCCACTTGGGTGGGATCCTAGACACACTTTAGTTCTATCCCACATTTTGCAGATGAGGGAAGCAGAGGACAGAAATGACTTCTCCAAGGCCGTTCACGTCAAAACATTGGTGCTGTCACATGACCATAACGGGATCCTCGGATGGCGCCATGGGGACAGGCTCAGCATGAATTGACTAGCAAAACTTTCCCAGCAGCCCTAGGTGGGAGGGTCGACCAACATCCCCATTTTGCAGATGGGAAAACTGAAGGCTGCAAGGTGGGAGTGAGGATGGGGGAGGGGTGGGGTAGTTAGGGGCTTGCAAGGTCACACTGCCAGTAAGTAGCAGAGCCCAGATTTGAATCAGCATGATGGGACTCAAAATCCATACTCTTGGACTGGTCCATGTAGTAGGGATGGACATTTGGCAGGGAGCAGAGGCAGACAGATGATGCAAAAGAAAGCCAGCAGAAATAATAACTAAGAGTTAAGATAGATGGAAACAACAGGCAATGATGAAATATGCAGGGGTGTGGTGGCCAGGGGTGTCCAGCGTCAGTGGTGGCCAGACAGGCTTCTCAGACAAGCAACAGTTGTCAGGTCTGAGCAAGCCACGGAAGGGATACAGGAATTAAGCACCTTTATAAAACCCCTTGTAAAAGCCCTCAAATCAAAACCAGCTGGGATGGGAATTCCCTGGCAGTCCAGTGGTTAGGACTCCAAGGTTCACTGCTGGGGCCCGGGGGTATCCCTGGTCGGGGAATTAAGATACCACAAGCCACGTGGTGTGGCGAAAAAAAAAAAAAAAGAACGAGCTTGGAAATGTATGATAAAAAACCATCCTGGTCACTTCACACTCATTAGGATGGCTTTTTTTTTTTTTTTTTAATCAGAAAGTAACAAGTGTTGGAGAAGATGCAGAGAAACTAGAACTTTTATGCACTGTTGGTGGGAATGTGAAACGGTCCAGCCACTGTGGAAAATGGTCTGGCAGTTCCTCAAAAATTAAACACAGAATTATCAGATGATTGAGCAATTCTACACCTGGGTATATATCCAGAAGAATTGAAAGCAAGGTCTCGAAAAGATATTTGTACACCCATATCCACAGCAGCATCATTCACAATTGCCAAAAGGTAAAGACAAACCAAGTGTCCATTGATGGATGAATGGATGAGCAAAATGCGGTTCTTCACACAATGGAATGTTATTCAACCTTAAAAAGGAAAGATATTCTAACACATGCTACAACATGGGTGAACCTTGAGGACATTATGTTAAGTGAAATAAGCCAGACACAAAAAGGACAAATACTGCATGATTCCACTTATATGAGGTGCCTGGAGTGGTCAAATTCATAGAGACGGAGGTAGAAGGGTGGGTGCCAGGGGCTGGGGGAGGGGGGAAGGGGGAGTGAGTGTTTAATGGGGACAGAGTTTCTGTTTGAAAAGATGAGCAAGTTCTGGAGATGGATGGTGGTGATGGCTGCCCAACAGTGTGAGTGTACTTAATGTCACGGAACTGTACAATTAAAATGGTTAATTTTATGTTATGTGTATTTTGCCACAATTTTAAAAAACGCAAACAAACGAAACACCATCCTGGACAGAGTATCAACGGAGGATTCAGAGATTCTTAAAGTTCCAGGGCAGAGTGTGGGCCAAATCCAGCTGAACGGTTTGTCCTGAGAGCTAAGAATGGTTTTTGTAAAATACATTAATGTTTTCGGATCGATGTTTGTAATTAGTGGGATGACAGGAAATACCAACTTTGAACCCCAACTGAGCAAAATGTTATCCCCCTGAACAAGAGTTCCCCTCATCTTTCTCGTGAGTAGAGCTGACTTACAAAAAAGTTGTGCTCAGGACTTCCTTGGTGGCACAGTGGTTAAGACTCTGCACTCCCAATGAAGGGGGCCCAGGTTTGATCCCTGGTCAAGGAACTAGATCCTGCATGCATGCCACAACTAAGGAGCCTGCGTGCTGCAACTAAGACCCAAGGCAACCAAATAAATATTTTTTAAAAGTCATGCTCAATTATTATCATTCTATTTTGAATTTCATCAATAAAAAAATCTGTGGGAACATGTTTTCTCTCTCGTTATATTAAGTGTCAACATAATTTCCTCGATTTTGCCTGAAATATCTCCTATGTGGCCCTTTCCAGAATAAGATGCTGGGGGAATTCCCTGGCATTCCAGTGGTTAGGACTCCACGCCTTTACTGCCGAGGGCCCAGGTTTGATCCCTGGTCGGGCAGCTAAGATCCCACAAGCCACGCGGCACAGCCAAAAAATAAATCAAAATTTAAAAAAATAGAATAAGGTGTTGGGCCGTCCTGGTGAGGGGATCTGCTCTGCCTTAGTAGTTTTCACTTCTAAGCTCTCCCAGGTTCAGCTCAAAGTTCTAGAAGCTGGAGCTGGGAGAAACCCCTCAGCTATAGACAGGAAAGGCGTATGAGCTAATGCAAATCCATCTGGCGGCTCGGTGAGGAGAGTGGGTTTCTAGAAGTCAGTGCAAAGTGGACCACCCCGACCCAGCCCGCTCAGCCCGACTCACCCATGCCTCGGAGCTCCACTGCCGGGCGGCACAGTTGGGGGGCTTCCCGGACCAGGCTGACCTCAGGAAAGTCTACGTGAGGGGCGCACAGGTCAAGGTCATCCAACAGACCCTCAATGCCCCCGGAGATGCCCCAGCAGGAAATCCAGTTCATGCTGCCTGTGGGGAGAAGACGCGGTGCTGTGGGGAGCATGCGTCTCCTTCCAGCTCATCCTGGGAGGTGGGTTCTCACCTCCCCATTTCTCCCAAGGGCTCTCACTCAGCCATGCTGACATTTGGGGCCGGGTCATACTCTGTGGTGGGGCCGTCATGTAGGGTGTATAGAGCAGTGTCCCTGGTCTCCATCCACTAGATGCCAGTAACTCCTCTGCAGTCGCAATAATCAAAATTATAAACATTGACAAGTGTCCCTTGGGAAGCAGAATCACCCCTGGTTGAGAATCATAGGAATGAATATGACGGATGAATGAATGGATGGATGGATGGAGAGATAGACAGGTAGATGATCGATAGATAGGCAGACATAGATGGTAGATAAATAGAGATAGAGATAAAAGATTGATAGATAGATGGATGGATGGATAGATATAAAGATGATAGATATAGGTGGTAGATAGAGAGATAGAAATTATAGGTAGGTAAGTAGATAGATAGATAGGACACATTTAGATGGATGGATATAAAGATGATAGATACAGATGGTAGAGAAAGAGATATGACAGATGAGATTTTATATTTATATATATATATAGAGAGAGAGAGAGAGAGAGGAAGAGATGATAGATATGATAGATTATAGATAGATGTGGATAGGTAGGTGATTGACAGATAGATAGATAGATAGATAGATAGAGGATAGATAGATAAACAGACAACTATACATGGTAGAAAAATAGAGATAGAGATGGTAGATGATAGACTGACAGATAGATAGACAGGGTCTCTCTCATTCTAAGGCAGTTTCTTGCCCTGTGTACTATCAACTAGCCCTAGATGCCAGCAGCATGCCTCCCCCATTCGTGACAACCAAAATATCTCCAGACATCACCTAGTGTCCCCTCGGTGGGGGGGGGGGCAGGGGATGGTGGCGCAGAACCGCCCCTGATGAGAACCAGTGCCTTAAAGGAGCCAAGGATTTTGAACTTCCCCCTCCCCCCTTCCCCCTTGTCAGGCTCTGGAAGGCGGGAGCACCGCAGAGGGTTGGGGACCTGCTCAGCCCCCTCCGAGATGGGTCTGGTCCTTACCCAGCACCTCCTGCTTCAGCTCCTCGATGCAGCCTGAGTGGATCAGGTGGTAGGGTAACTCCTTCAGCTTCCGCAGGTTTGCAACCGTGTCTGAGAACCACAGGGGCTGAGGGGCCACCTGCAGAGGAGGAGGGGGCTGGCAGCCAGGCCACTACTACACAAGCTCATTCATTCACTCCACAAACATGGGCCAGGCAAGGCACCAGGTGATGCTGGAGGGTGTGGGGGTGGGGACACAATTCCAGACAGAGATGGCCCACACCATCCTCCACCCACAGGCTGGGCTGGGACAGGAGGGGCTTGGGGCTCAGGATCCAAGGGGCATTGAAACTGGGTCTCACAGGATAAATAGAAGCCTCTCTGGTGAAGTGTGTTGGAACCATTGGCATTTCATAGCGAGGGACTGCCATGTACAAAGGCCGGGAGGTGGGAGAGAGCAGGACAAGAGTTTGGGAAGGGCTGAATTATAAGACAGAGTGGGGGATCATGGCGGGGACTGAGGCTAGGGAGGTTGTAGAGAGTAGATCACAAAGGTACTGAAGAGGTTGGACTGGAGACAGAGGGCACTGGGGAGCCATGGGAGGTGTTAGAGGAGAAGCATGATCAGATTGGATGGTCAGAAGCATCTGACCATGGAGGACGGACTGGAGCGGAGATCCTGAGGCTAGGAGACCAGGAAGGGCGTCAAACCACATCTCAAAGAGAGGATGTGGTTGAGCCTGCAGGGGTTCTGGGTCCACGGGAGAGGATCTGTGAGGTACCGGAGAGGAGAAAGGGAAGCATTGAGAAAGAATCAGACCTGGCCCAGCCTCTGGCCTCCCCTGTCCAGGAGGAGAGACAAAGAAAAAAGAAAAATCAAACTATAACCACTACTTAAAAGTGTATTTTCTAGTTGAAATCACTGTGCTACAGTTACACAAGATGTTAACAACAGGGGAATTTAAAAGAAGTGTCCACAGGAACTCTCTGAATACTCGTGGCAACTTGTCTGGAAATCTAAAATGATTTTGAAACTGAAAGTTTCTTTTGAAAAGTCTGAGTTCTGCCTCAGAGTGAAGAGAGCATGGAGTAAAGGACAAGTAATCAAGGGACTTCGCTGGTAGTCCAGTGGTTAGGACTCTGAGCTTCCACTGCAGGGGACATGGGTTTGATCCCTGGTCTGGGAAGATCCCACAAGCCTCGAGGCACAGCCAAAAAACAAAACAAAACAAGTAATCAAGAAGGAAGGAAATCACGGAAGATTTCCTGAAGGAAGAGGCATTTGAGCTGAGCCTTGAGGATGTTTGAGAGACAAAAAAAAAAAAAAAAAAAAGAGGTAGTGACTTGCAAGCTAAGGACCCCAAGTCTTAGAGCTCCCTGGAACAAAAAAAAGACTGGAAAGAAATGTGTGAATAGTGAGTGACCTGGGGGAGGGAGTATAGGAGCAGATCTTCCCAAAAGGGGGAATTGTGGACAGTTTTATTTTACTGTTTGATCCTCTCTGTGTTCTCCAACAATCACACACTACTGTCCTAAGTGGAAAACAAAATGTGTTATTTTTAAAATGAGCAATGCTTTGGGGGTACCAATAACTGGAAATTGGATTGTTCCAGGGAATTCACAAAGGAAAATTCACAAAGGAAATCCAGGGAATTCACAAAGGAAAACGTCAAAACCCACCCCCCTCCCCGCACACACACATACACACACACACACACACACACACACACAAAAAAACAGGGAGGAAACTGGTGTGTCTCAGGAGGAATCGAAGCGTAGGGAATTAAAATTTATCCTCTGGAAAGTTGGGCAGGAGGGTTGCATAGTCCTCATCTGTTGCTCGCCACCCTCCAAATAATGCTCAGCGGCGGAGGTGACATCTAACCCTCCATGGGTGGAGAAGAGAAGGTGGTCAGGAGGGAGTTTGGGGTGGAAATGATGGACAGAAGGAGGCATGTGGTCCCTGCCTTGCAGGTGCAGCAGCTTGGAGGCTCCAAGTGGGGGGAGCAGGGGGCCCTGGGCACCTCACCTTGCGGTCCAGGTTCAGGGGTTGCGCCACAAGTGGCAGGATGATGAGTTTCTTGGTTCCCTGGCTCCAGGTCCCTGAGAATAAGTCGGCCAAGACTCCGTGACCCTTGGCTTTCTCGGGCCAGGACAGGTAGCGCTCTCGGACCACCTCGGCCAGCTGTCTGCAGAGAGGGGACACTGGGCGAGCTCAGAGGTGGTCACTGGCCTTCTAGGAGGCGGTTCCCCAATGCCAGTCCACCCTAAACCACCTTCCAGATGCTGGCTGGCTTAGCTGACCACTATTTGTTACCTATTATTTATCTCTCAATCGGCCCATCTTACTTTTATTCCTTAAAGAAATTTACTTTAAAAAGGAACATTTGGGGCTTCCCTGGTGGCGCAGTGGTTAGGAATCCGCCTGCCAGTGCAGGAGACGCGGGTTCGTGCCCCGGTCCGGGAAGATCCCACATGCTGCGGAGCGGCTGGGCCCGTGAGCCATGGCCGCTGAGCCTGTGCGTCCGGAGCCTGTGCTCCGCAACGGGAGAGGCCACAGCAGTGAGAGGCCTGTGTACCGCAAAAAAAAAAAAAAAAAAAAAAAAAAAAAAAAAAAAAGGAACATTTGATAAACAACAAGGAGCTACTGTATAGCCCAGGGAATTATACCTAGTAATAACCTACAATGGAAAAGAATCTGAAAAAGAATATATATATATATATATATATATATATATATATAAAAAACTGAATCACTTTGCTGTATACTTGAAACTAACACAAAATTGTAAATTAACTATACTTCAATTTAAAAAAAGGAACAGGGACTTGCCTGGTGGCACGGTGGTTAAGAATCTGCCTGCCAATGCAGGGGACACGGGTTCGAGCCCTGGTCCGGGAAGATCCCACATACCGTGGAGCAACTAAGCCTGTGCGCCACAACTACTGAGCCCGTGCACCACAACTACTGAAGCCCACGTGCCTAGAGCCCGTGCTCTGCAACAACAGAAACCACGGCAATGAGAAGCCCGCGCACCACAATGAAGAGTAGCCTCCCTGCTCGCCACAACTAGAGAAAGCCCTCACGCAGCAAGAAGACCCAATGCAGCCAAAAATAAATAAATAATTTTTTTTAAAAAAGGTGGAAACCCAAATGTCCACCAAAAAAATAAAACAATAATAATAAAAAAAGGAACATTTGCGTTCCTCAATAAGTTAAACATAAAATAAGTTACTGTATGACCCAGCAATTTCACTCCTGGTTACATACCCCAAAGAATGGAAAAACACGTTTTCAAACAAAAAGTTGTACATGCATGTTCACAGCAGCACTAGTCACAATCACCCAAACGTAGAAACAACCATGTGTCCATCAACGAATGAGTGGATGAATAATATGTGGTCCATCCCTACAAGGGAATATTTTCAGCCATAAAAAGAATGAAGCACTGGCACATGCTATAACGTGGATAAACCATGAAAATATTATGCTGAGTGAGATAAGCCAGACACAAAAGACCACAATGTGTGTGATTCCATCCATACGAAATTTCCAGAACAGGCAAATCCATAGAGACAGAAAGCAGATTCATGGTTGCCAGGGGCGGGGGGAGGGGGGATGGGGAGTGACTGCTCATGGGGACGGGGTTTCTTTTTAGGGTGGTAGGAATGTTCTGGAAGTAGATAGAGGTGATGGTTGCACAACATGTGAATATGCTAAATGTCACTGAATTGTTCACTTTCAAATGATGAATGTTATGTGAATTTCTCCTCAATTTAAAAAAGCAGTTAGTTGTGGGAATTCCCTGGCAATCCAGTGGTTAGGACTCTGTGCTGTCACTGCCGAGGGCCCGGTTTGATCCCTGGTCAGGGAACTAAGATCCCACAAGCCGCGAGGTGTGGCCAAAATTAAGAATAATAATGGGGCTTCCCTGGTGGCGCAGTGGTTGAGAGTCCGCCTGCCGATGCAGGGGACACGGGTTCGTGCCCCGGTCCGGGAAGATCCCACATGCCGCGGAGCGGCTGGGCCCGTGAGCCATGGCCGTTGAGCCTGCGCGTCCGGAGCCTGTGCTCCGCAGCGGGAGAGGCCACAACAGTGAGAGGCCCGCGTACCGCAAAAAAAAAAAAAAAAAAAAAAAAAAAAGAATAATAATGATGATGATTATAAAAATAAAAAACAAGTTAGTTGTGTTAGAGCTGATGGTAAATGCTGCACTATGTGGACTTGGTTTCCTGGGAATGGGGAGTGAAGAAGGATCTGGAAGAAGGAGGAGCCTGGTCAGTGAGTCCTCGCTCTCGGGGTCCCACCTAGACAGTGTCACCAACCCTCTCGACCTACCTGTGGGCGATGGTCAGGAGTATGAAGCTATCCACGGGCCTCCTGGCCAAGTGGTTACCCAGATCTCGATGAAGCTTCACCCACATCAGGGGTGGGAAACGCAGCAGCTCTTTGCTGGGCGGGGTCCAGTCTTGGTACACAGCCTGCAGGACCTTGTCATCCAAGGACAGGACATCCTTCATCTCCGCCTCCGAGAGCCCACGCCTGCAGGGAGAAAGGACGGGCATTGGAACACACCTGTGTCTCCTGCACTTGGAGGACTCAGAAGCCGAGGAAGGGACAGCTCTATGGCATCCGGCCCATCACCAAAGTGTTCACCATGGGGATCATTATTTGGACGGTGCCCACGGCCAGCCGGTACCAACACCTGGTTACAGCTGTACCCATCAAGTAAGACGTTTCCTGATCTTTCCTTTTCTCACTCACCTACAGAACCCTGAACCATCCCCTTCCTGACCTCAGAGGAGTCAGGCAGCACTGGGAGGGAGAGAGGAGGTAACTTAGGAAACTAATGCAGAAACCACCCCGATGTGTCCTTGCCTTAAAAAGGAGGTGGCTTTAAACAGGATAAGCATTGGACTGGAATGGACTTCGTAATACCTGTGAGCATTTGCCTGGAAAAACTACGGGACTTGCCGACAAATTTCCTCAGGGTTGGAGAACAATCAGAGTTCATTTCAGAGCAGATGAGAGAGGGAGGCTGGCTTCTGCTTACAGGGAGTACAAACACCTGTGTTTTCTATAGCTAAGACAGAAAAAGAGATGATTTATTGTACACATGTTACATTCAGCCACAACTGAGAACAGAACTAGTCCAGACTGTCAGAGGTCCAGGGCAAAGGAAGGGACCATTTTGATACAAGCAAGGTGGGTCTCTCAAAGGTGGTCGAGGTGATCAGAATAGTCATAGATGTTCCAGATCCACTGAGACAAGTTCTAGACAGTAGGCAAGCAGCCCAACAATTTGTACCATCGTCCCTGTCCTCTGGCTTCCCTTGTTTCTGCTCCTGTGGCTTCCATGGGTGTACAAGTTTACTTGGACCTCTGCTTCATCTTTCTTCTTTTGCGCTTCAGCCTGAGCATTTGCTTCTTCCACTTTGCTCTCATGGCGCAGAGGTTTCCCAGAAGATGGCGCTAAGGCCGAGAGCTGTGTTTGTTTTTAATTCCTTGATATTGATCGAAGTCTTCATTTTGATCAAAACACTTGCCATATTCTTTACACATATAGAATACCTGCTCACTTGGAATTTTCTGCTGTCCAACGAGGTGGCGATTAACATCAGTATTCTCTGAGATCTCTTCCACTGAGACCATCTCATCTTTGACAATCACAGGTATGTCACTTGTGATGTTCTCCACACTTTCTCCATTGGGGTAGCCAGGCCCTCTCCCTAACCTGCTTTTCTCCTCTTGACAGGTCTTTCCAAACCAAAATTCCTGGGAGCCACACCACTGGGGTTTACTTGGTAGCACCATGGCGTGGGCCTGTGTTTCCTCAAAAATTTCCTCCATCAGAATAGAATCTTCTGGGACTTCCCTGGTGGTCCAGTGGTTAAAACCCTGTGCTTCCAATGCAGGGAGCACAGGTTCGATCCCTGGTCAGGGAACTAAGATCCCCCATGCCTTGTGGTGCGGCCAAAAGAAAAAAAAAAAAAGAGTAGAATCTTCTTTCTCACTCTTCAATACACCCTCAATACAAACCAGGCTTGGGTCTTCTCTTTGTGGTTTCAGGCACAATGGTTTATCCACCAGATAAAAATGGGACATCCCAGCAGGCTTTCGACATGGATATCCCAGGGAAGCACAGCCCCATACTTCTCTGGCATCACATCACTGTACAGGGCCCTCTGGGCAGGGGCCAGGCCAGTCCATTTATTCTCAGGGAAGCAGACAGCTGCAACCTGGAAGGCCACTGACATCAGTAAAGTACTGGCATGTTTGCTTAACCACTATTCACGGAGTGTCATCTCTGTGCTGTCCCCTGGAGGACAGAGAGCTAGAAGCCCATGAAGCTTATCTTCTAGTGCAGAGAGCCACATAGAAAATAACAGAAAAAAAACACAAAGCACAAAGAGTTTGGGTAACACCAGTTGCTAGGAAGAAGATAAGCCAAATCACATGAAGGCGAGTGGCAGGGGAGAGATGCTTCTTGGAGCAGGTGGGTCTCTCTGAGAAGGTGTCACAAGAGCTGGGATTGTGCAGGAGGGAAGGAGCCAGTGTGGGAAAATCTGGGGCCAGGGTGCTCCAGGCAGGGGGATGGGAGGCAGCCAGATCCAACAGGCTTTGGTAAGGAGTTTGGATACTTTTCTAAAAGCATTGGGGAGTCATTGGAAGGGTTTAATCAGGACAGAAGAAATTCAGTCTCATTCATGATTTTAAAATCTCATTTCAGACAGGTGTTCCTACCAAAACTTGTACAAGAATGTTCACAGCAGCAGTAGTCACAATTGCCAAAAGGTGGAAATAATCCAAATGTCCATCAACAGATGAAAAGTAGAAAAATGTGGTTGCTATGGACTGAATATGTGTGTCTCCCCCAAATTCATGTGTTGAAGTCTTAATCCCCAAGGTGATGGTATTAGGAGGTGGGGCCTTTGGGAGGTGATTAGGTCATGAGGGTGGAGCCCCCACGAATGAGATTAGTGCCCTTATAAAAGAGACCCCAGAGAGCTTGTCCAATGGACCCATTGTCCATTCTGTCATATGAAGTTTCAGTGAAACATGACGGTCTGTGAACCAGGAAGCAGGGTCTCACCAGACACCAAATCCGCTGGTGCCTTAATCTTAGACTTCCCAGCCTCCAGAACTGTGAGAAATAGATTGTTTATAAAGCCACCCAGTCTTACCGTATTTTTGTTATAGCAGCCCACATGGACTAAGACAGGGGTGTATCCATACGATGGAATATTATTTGACCATAAAAAGGAACAAAATGCTGATACACACTACAATACAGATAAACCCTGAAGACATTCTGAGTGGAAGAAACTAGTCACAAAAGACCACATATTGTATGATCTCATTTATATGAAATATCCAGATCAGGATCCATAAAGGCAGATCCATAAAGGCAGATCCATTCGTGGTTGCCAAGGGCTGAGGGAGGAGGGATGGGGAATGACAGCTAACAGGGACAGGGTCTCCTTTCAGTAATGATGGAAACGTTCTGGAACTAGATAGAGGTGACGGTTGCACCACATTGTGAATGTACTAATGTCACTGAATTGTAACACGGTAAAAATTTAACTTTACAGTATGTGAATTTTACCTCAATTAAATAATCTCACTCTGCTAAATGCAATGAGGGATACTGAATTGGCTCCAGGACCAGAAAAAATGATATTGGTGGAAAAACTGGTGAAATCCAAATCAAGTCTGGAGTTGAGATCACGGTCACGTATCAATGCTAATGTCCTGGCTGTGACAGCAATGCTGTGGTTATGTTGGATGTTAACGTGAGGGGAGGTAAGGGGCAGGATCTATGGGAACTCTGTTCAACCTTTTTATATCCTCTGTAAATGTAAAATTATTTCCAAATAGCGGTTTACTAAAAAAAAAAAGTCTCATTCTTGCCTCTCTGGGGAAGGGGCTTGTTGGGGGATAAACACAGTGACATGGAGACAAGTGAGGGCCTGGGACACTTGTTCAGGTGGAGACGGGGATGACCTAGGACAAGATAGGGACAGTAGGAATGGGAAAAAAATGGTTGGTTTAGGATGTTTTAGAGGCAGAGCCAAGAGGACTTTCTGATTATGGAGGGAAAAAGGATGTGGAAGGAGAGGAAACAGGCATGACTCCTGGTTATGCAGAAGGTGACCCCACTACTAAGAATGGGGGGACTTCCCTGGTGGCGCAGTGGTTAAGAATCCGCCTGCCAATGCAGGGTACACAGGTTCAATCCCTGGTCCTGGAAGATCCCACATGCCACGGAGCAACTAAGCCTGTGTGCCACAACTACTGAGCCCGCACCCTAGAGCCCGCGAGCCACAACTACTGAGCCCATGAGCCACAACTACTGAAGCCCATGCACCTAGAGCCCATGCTGCATAAGAAGAGAAGCCACCACAATGAGAAGCCCGCGCACTGCAACGAAGAGTAGCCCTTTCTCGCCGCAACAAGAGAAAAGCCCGCATGCAGCAATGAATACCCAGTGCAGCCAAAAAGATAAATAAATAATCAATTAAAATTTAAAAATTAAAAAAAAGGAATGGGGAATCCTCTGTTGGAGCAGTTTTGGGGCAAGAGACTTTGCTAGTCATGAGGTACCACCATGTTTGTGACACCTGCCCCCTCTTAGCCCCTGGCAACCACTAACCTACTTTTTGTGGATTTGACAATACTGGACATTTCACATAAGTGGGATCATATGTCATATCATCTGTGCTCAACACTGACAACCCCCTGCCTGGGGGTATGCCTCAACCTCGTCTGTCTAGGCTTCAATAGCAGGAGTCTACAATAGGGGGAAGGAGACTCCAAAGGGATGTAAGAGCAGGTGAAGATCTGTGAACAATCCTGGGTCGGTGCCATTTTCTTGTCCTTCCTAAACCTGCTCAGCTCAATATTAGGACCTGTACCTCTTTGTACCTCCTCATCCAAGTTTGCAGCTGAGTCTCCAAACTCAGCTGGAGGGAGGCAGAGCAGAAAGCTTTCCTCCATTTGTCAGATGGGGAAACTGAGGTTTGTGTATTCATGTCCCTGAATGGCCAGGGGAAGAGGAATTCAATTTCATCCCTGCTCTTGAAGATTTTGTGTCTCATCAAGTCTAGAGCTATGATGTCCAATGTAGTAGTCACCAGCCACACATGGGCGTTTAAAGTTAAAAATTAATAGAATTTAAAATCCAGTTTCTGGATTGCATAAGCTGCCTTTCAAGAGGTCAACTGCCACTGCAGCCTGTAGCTACCACATTGGACAATGAGATACAGAGCATTGCCCGCATCACCAACATTCTATTGGACGGTGCTGGAAAGACTGGGGAATGTGCCCGCGGACAGCTGAACCACTAGGTTAAGAGCCCTCCTCCATCCCCAGAGACATCCCTTTGACAATGTGGACCCAAGACCTCATCTGCCCCCCACATGGGACCTGCCTTGCCTGCACTGCAGACCAGACTCTGTGGGTGAGGTCACACAGCCCCGTGTTTGATCCTGGCTGAGGCATCTTGGCCAGTGATGTCCCTTTGCAAGTATGGTCTTGTTATTCCTTCCACAAGCCGCACAGAACAGACACTCTCCCAGCTACCCCTCTGTACAGAGGGCGCTCGGAAAGGCCACAATGCATGCCTAACACAGCATTTCTCAGCCTCTCACTGTTGACACTAAGGGTTGGATCATTCTTTGTTGTGGAGATTGTCCTGTACTTTGTAAGATGTTTAGCAGCATCCCTGGCCTCCACCCACTAGGTGTCACCAGCATGATAGATAGATAGATAGATAGATGAGAGATAGATAGATAGACAGATAGATAGATGATAGCTTATAGATAGGTGTACATAGATGCATGTATGGATGGACAGACGAATATGATAGATTATAGATAGATAGATATGATAGATTATAGATAGATGAAGTAGATAAATAGATGAATGGATGGATAGATAGGTATTATGGTAGCTGGATAGAGAGATAGACAGTATCTTTCATGCTAAGCCAGGGTTTCGCACCCCCAGCACTACTGACAACTGGAGCACCATGATCCTCTGGTTGGGGGAGGGTCCTCTGAACTATAGGGTGTTGAGAAGCATCCCGGGTTTCCATCCACTAGATCCCAGTAGCAGCCCATCCCCCAGTCGTGACAACCAAAATGTCTCCACTGTTAAGTGTCCACCGGGGGCGGGGGCACAGAATCTCCCTAGGTAAGAACCACTGGGTAAGAACCAGAAGTATTCAGATCTGCTCTGAGAGCTAGGCTCTCAACCATCACTCTAGGTCAACTCTGTGTGTAAACATAACATATTTTCATGCAACAGGACATACCAAAATCACCTCCCCTAGAGTCACCTTCCATAGACCACCTCCCTTACCAGGCATTAAAGGAGGGTGGTCCTCCACCCCAGGAGGCCCCCAGCTTTACTAACTGGACCAGACATGGGGCCAGGAATGCCAATTGATGTCTATCTCCCCAGATTTTCCAACCAGGACTCAAGAAAGAGCCAGTATGATGGCGCCAGTTCTCCAAAATGGGAGCCCGTGATGCCAACAGCAGCTGTGGCAGGCAAGCTACACTTACAGAGGAGAAAGGAAGAGTCTAGAGCAGAAGCCAATGTGCAGAGAGGACCCAGAGGGAGAGGGGATGAGCAACTTCCCTGATTCTGTGGCTTTCTGGTTCCCATGACAACCCTACCTTCCATGTAGACTTCATCAGGTTGGCCTGATGGCCCACCCTTTTATTCTGGAACATTCCCTGGTCTGTCTCTGTGCTCTTGTAGAGTCCATGCTGTGGGCATCAATCACAAAATTTGGGGTACAACATGAAATCTGGGCTACCCCTCCCTGGAGTTGGCTATCGGGTAGCCCTGCATCCATTGAGTTTCTCCCATGGCCATGACATAAAGCCCTTATTTCTAATGTGATAGTGTGAGTGGATTTCTGTTCCTGGCAAATAAACAAACAAATAAAAAGCCCACTTACTGGGCTGGTCGCTGTCACCTTGATTTGTGGCAAAAGACAAAGGTCCAAAAGAGAAAACTGCCCCTCAAGCTGAGAAGAGGAAATGTGCATTGTCCAGCATTTCTAATGATGGGCATGAGCGTCTCCCGATGGCTGTTTGCATTAAGGTAAAGCTCTGTTGCTCGGTGTGCGTGCGAATTGGCCTCCGTCCCACCCTCGCGTGGGATGCTGGGTGCCTGTGATGAACACACTCCTCTCTCCTGCTCATTATTTCTGACTCACCATCTACACCTGGCATCTCTGACCATCATGACCCTGGTTTATTGGAGTTTGTTCAGCAACTGCATTTAAACCTTCATTCCTTAAACTCTATAAACACATTGGAATTGGGTTTTCCTATTGCTTTTTGCTGATTCCCATGCTACAAAGCCTGAAATTAACTGTAGATCCATGCTTGTGGTCAATTCTTCGGAGAAGTTTGCTTTAAAAAGATTTTTCTGAGATATCCGCACACATTGCTTATTAATTACAAAGGGGTATGTTGCAAATTTGTGGTAGGAAAAAAATGCACAAGAAGGATCGAACACCATCCATGTTTAACCTGAATGTCATCATGAGGAGACATCAGATCAACCCAGATGACAGTGTACCGACTCCCCTCCAATGCACCCCCAGGTGTGTTCCTGGTAGCATCAACATCGCCAGGGAGCCTGAGAGAAACACACCCACCCCCAGACCTGAGGAATCAGTCTTTATTCAAAAACAAGACCTGAGATACATATACCCATTGAGGGTTAAGGAGTGCTGAGCTACAGAAGAGGTGGTCTGTACTCTTCAAGAGGACAAAGATAGAGAGTGGAACATTCCAGATTAAAGGAGCCCAAAGAAACTTGACAGCTAAATGCAACATGTTATCCTGGATTGGATCCTGGGATGGGGGCAAGGGGAGGGGACAGCTATAAAGGACATTTTTGAGACAATTGGTAAATTTTGACTATAAACTGTGTATTAAATAATATTATTGCATTTATGATACATTTTCTGAGTTTTAAAATTGTCTTGTGGTGATGTGGGGTTCTGATTGCCCTTGTTCTTAGGATATATGTGATGTATTTAAGGGTGAAGGGGAATGATGCCTGTAATGAATTCTCAAATGGTTCAGGAAAAAATTTTGTTTGTGGGTGTGTGTGTGGATAGACAGAGACAGATAGATGAATGGATAGATAGATGATAGATAGATAGATAGATAGAAAAATGGAAAGAAATAAAGAGAGAGAGGGAGGGGACACTTGGCAATGTCCTGAGACATTTTTGGTTGTCCCAGATGGGGGATACTACCAGCATCTAGTGGGTAGAGGCCAGGGATACTGTTCAACATCCTACACTGCACAGGATGGCCCTACACACTGCAAAGGATGATCTAGCCCCAAATGTCAATAGCACCAAGGCTGAAAAATTCTGCTCTATGGGAGTTCTCAGCGCTATTTCTGCACTATGGGAGTTCTTCCTCTAGTCTATAATTTGAAAGTATTTCTAAGGAAAACGTTTTCTGAAGAAGTACTCTAGACAAATGCATAGCGACAGATGAGCGGTTGCCAGGGGCTGGGGGTCGGGGAAGGGGAGTTACTGCTGACGGGGACGGGGTCTCCTTGTGGGGTGAGGAATTGTTCTGGAGATGGATAGTGGTCGCCTAACACTGTGAATGTGCTAAATGCTGCTGAACTATACACTTTAAATGAGTGAAAATTATGATACGGACTGGACTGGGTTGAATAGTGTTCCCCAAAATTTGTACCCACGGGGAACCTGTGAATGTGACCTTGTTTGAAACCAGTCTTTGGGGAAGTAGTCAAGTTAAGATGAGGTCATACAGAGACAGGCTGGGACCTAGGACCTGGGACCCTTTGCTGCAGTGCTTGCACCTGGCCAAATGTCTCTTCCAGCAACAAAATACAAAGAAACTATAAGGGACTAAATAGAACTGCGTGCACGCACAGTTGAGAAAATTATGGACAACAAGATACAAAAAGACCAAAAACCCAGTTGCCACTTCGGAAGAGCCGGGAGCAAAAGCAGGGTACTGAGCATGCCCCCTGCGCACAACCCCACCAGAGGGGTGGGCAAACAACCTAAGCCGCCCCTCTGGCTCGACCCCTGGACCTGCCCCTACCCTCACCCCATATACGGAACAAACTCACTCCCCACTCAGGGAGCGAGCAAGCAGGGGAAACTGTTACCTGTTTTCCCTCCCCTCTGCCTTGCCTGAATTTCTTTCCTGGTCTCTTATCAATTTATGTTGATTAAGAAGGCCAAGAGGGCTTCCCTGGTGGCGCGGTGGTTGAGAGTCCGCCTGCCGATGCAGGGGACACGGGTTCGTGCCCCGGTCCGGGAAGATCCCACATGCCGCGGAGCGGCTGGGCCCGTGAGCCATGGCCGCTGAGCCTGTGCATCCGGAGCCTGTGCTCCGCAATGGGAGAGGCCACAACAGTGAGAGGCCTGCGTACCGCAAAAAAAAAAAAAAAAAAAAAAAAAAAGAAGGCCAAGAACCTTAGTCGGTAACAATACTGGATGCAAGTGGGTCCTAATCCAATGAGTGATGTCTTTCCAAGAACAGGGAAATTCAGACAGAGAGACACACAGGGAGAAAACCACAATGTGGTCAGAGGTGGAGATTGGAGTGATGCGACTACAAGCCAAGGAATGTTGAGGGTCGCCAGCAACACCAGAAACTAAGAAAAAGGCCTAGAACGGATTCTCCTTTAGGGGCTCCGGAGGCAGTGTGGTTCAGCTGACACCTTGATTTCAGACTCTGGCCTCCAGAACCACGAGAGAATAGATTTCCATTGTTCTAAGCCACCCAGTTTGTGATTTTGTTATGGCTGCCCTTGGAGAAGAATGCATGTGTTCTATAATTCAGAAAAGTGAAAACAACAGAGACTCACCGGGAAGACACAATGTATAGCCCAGCACTCAGGGCACCAGCAGCTGCAGGCACACAGCTGGTGCATCGCCTCCTTAGCAGTGGAGGCCAGAGGGGCCGGCACGGTGAAGGAGGCCCATTTCCAGGCCTCCTCGAAGGCCAGCCTCAGCTGCCCCGGGTGCCCACACTCTGGGAGGCTGGCCCAGAGCAGGTCCCTCTGCATCAGGCTCAGCGTCCTCCTCAAGGCGGCCAGCAGGAGCTGAACCATCTCTTGCCCTTGGTTTCCAGAGAGGGGTTTCACCTCCCAGCAAGCACCTGGGGCCGTGAGCACCTGCCGCATAGTGTCTAAAACACCCTGCTGTCCTGAGCAGACCGAGAGGATGAGGTGGACCCTTGGGGGGCACTTGGGAGGCAGCCAGGGGACCCTCCGAGCATGGACAGAGGCTACCTTATCCACTGAATCCAGCAGGATCACAAGGGACTCAAAGTTTTGGCAGGAGACGGTGTGGAGGAGGGTGTGGAAAAACTGTACCACCCTGGTATGGGCCTCCAAGACCTGGAAAGGGGGCAGGGGTAGCCCGTAGGCCAGGCACACCTGGAAGCAGATGCTCTGGAGCAGGCCTCGGGTGTCGGAGCTCATCTGTGACGTCCCCAGAAACCGCAGAACGGTCACTGTCTTGTGGCCAAGCAGCCCTGGCATTTGCTCAGCCAGCTTGCACATCAGAGCATCTTTCTGATGCCCGGGGGTCCAAAAAGCACCAGGGGTGGGTGGGGGTGGCCGTCGCTCTGCTGGAGCCGCTGCCCCAGCTGGGTTAGGAGCTCCTGGTGCCCACAGGTCTGGGGGGCCTCGGCACTGAGCCCCAGGTGGTGGCAGATCTCCTGATAGAGCCAAGCCAACTCCTGCCTGCCTGCCTCCAGTTTCTGGAGGCACTCGAGGACCTGATGGTTAGCTCTGGCCACAAACTGCTCCCCCAATTCCTTTGGGTACCGTCCATGAGCCTTGTTTGGGGGGGGTCCACCAGGTCTCGGCTCCATGCCAGGTGGTGGGCCTTGAGAACTCCAGGCTGCATGTCAGCGATGCGCTCCTTGAGGCTGCTGAGAAGGTTCTGGGCATCTGTGTCCAGGCAGCTGGCTGCAAGCTGGTCCACTATCTTGAGGGCGCAGACCTCCAGGATGTGTTTGTTGAGGTCTTGGATATCTCTCAGGAAGACAGTTGCCCCCTGGTCCCAGTCTGTTGAGTTCAGCAGGTCCCGTTCTATTTCCCCCTCGATGGCTGCAAAAGTGGAGGAGATGGGAAGTGAGTGTGGTCAGCATTATGTCATCAGTTGGCTCGAAAGGGAGCACTCGGTAGACACATTCCGGGGATGGAAACATTGGTTCTCAAGCTTAGTGTGTTTCAGAGTCACCTGGCATAACCACAGACAACATGCAAACGAATGCACTCCAGTGTTTTCCAATAAAACTTTATTTACAAGAACAAGCAGTGGGCCAGGTTTTGTCCTTGGGCCATGGTTTGCTAAGCCCTGTCCCAGAGCATGCAGCAGCTGCCCTGAGGACCTGTATTTTCCAGAGCCAAGAGCTCACACCGACTTCTCCCTGGAGGCCATTGTTTTGAAATAGCAGTCAGACTTGAGGAGTTATTTTTGAAGCCTCCCTGGGCTCAGCAGAGGATCCCAGCTCTCTAGCTGAGCGAGTCAGGCCCTTGGAGACAGGACTCAGTCTCAGAGCCAAAGACAAGAACCACTCAAAAGTCCTCCTTGGACTGACCTCACATGACCCTCAGCCCCATGAGTGAAGGTCAGAGACGAAGGCAGCTAACAGTCCCCAAACAGGATCCTTCTTGGACACATTTTGGCATGAACTAATCCAATACCATCTGTTCTGCCACCAGCAGGCTGTGTGACCCTAGGCAAATCACTGCACCTCTCTGAGTCTCTGTTTCCTCCCTTGTAACATGGGTGTACTAGTGCAACCTTGAAGGGGCTGTTGTGAGGATTTTCTGTGAAATAATGCTTGCGAAAAGCTGAGCACCTTATGCTGAAGGAACAAAACTAAACTCAAAAGTTTACAGTCTGTGATCTTATCTTCTATGATATGGTTGAAATAACAAAATAAATGAGATGGAGATGGGTTAGTGGTTACCAGTGCTGGGGTTTGTGGGAAGCGGTGAATGCTGCTCTAAAGGGACAGTGGGGGGGATCCTCGTGGTGAGGGAACAGCCCTGTGTATTGACCACGGTGGTTACTCGAAGCTACACAGGTGAGAAAATTGCAGAGAAGGAAATGGGCGAGACAAACATACACACACACACACACACAAATGGTGTCTGTACAAGTGTGCTCTCTCTGGATTGTGACAATATCCACTTCCTGGTTGTGTAATAATATTGCACTCTAGTTTTGCAAGATGTTACCTTTGGGGGAAAATGGGTAAAGGATACCTCTTCCTCCTTTTTTTTTTTTTTTTTTTTTTTGGCAATTTCCTATGAATCTCTATTTCAAAATAAAAATTAAAAAAAAAAAAAAAAAAGTTGAGCGAGGTGCCTGGAAAATAATATGCTCTGAAGGTGCCGTCCATGACCTGCCCCTGAACTCCACAACTGTTTGTGCTTTCTGCTGATGTCAAGGAGTTTCTATTTGTTCTTTCAAGTGGGACTTCTTAATGGGCGAGGTTTGACATGATTGCTTAGAGATCTCATTGTTGAATGAGATCACGGCCGGGACAAGACCGTTTAGATCCCTCTAATGATTCCATTAGGTACTACCTCTGACTAGTTCCATTTTACAGATGAGGAAAAGGAGAGTCCAAGCTGCCAAAAGTCAATACGGCTGGAAAGGGGCAAGGCTGAGATGTAAATCCCGGCCCATCCCATAGTTGACCCCAGACGCTAATTACAGTCCCCATGTCAGACATCTCTATGAGAGCAATTAGCTCACTTGGCTTTGTGTCACAGAGCAAGCAATAGCAACATGGTAAGTGCACAAGAAACAGTAGCCTTAACATTATTATCCATATAAAAGTGTATTCAAAATTGATCTGTCAGGACTTCCCCGGTGGTACAGTGGTTAAGACTCTGTGCTTCCAGTGCAGGGGGCATGGGTTCGATCCCTGGTCGGGGAAGTTCCGCATGTCGCACAGTGGGGACAAAAAAAAAAAAAAAAAAAAATTTGTATGTCATTACTAACCTTAACCAAAGGGTCAAGGTTAGGATCACCTGTGATGTCAAGTAGGCCTCAGGTACCCCTGATGCGATGGGATGGGGAGGGAACTTTACCTCTGCAGTCTTCCTCCCCAAAATCTATAATCCCAATTTAATCATGAGAAAATACCAGCCAAGCTCAGATTGAGGGACATTCTACAAAAGACCTGGCCAGTACTCCTCAAAATCGGTCAAGGTCATGAAAAACTGTTACAGATCAGAGTAGCCTAAGGAGACAAAGGACTAAATACAATGTGGGATCCTGGGACAGAAAGACATTGATGGGAGAACTGAGGAAACCCAAATAAAGTCTGGAGTATAGTTACTAGTCATGCACCAATATTAAATACCGATGTTCATTTCTGAGTTCTGGTAAATGTACCTCGGTCACGTAAGATGTTAGCATTGTGGGAAGCTGGGTGAAGAACCTTCGGGGACTCCACACTATCTTTGTAGCTTTATAATGTTGTAGCTTTTTTGTTCATCTAAAATTATCCTGAAATAAAAATTTAAAAAATTGGTATGTCTTTACTAGGATGTAGATATATAATAGATAATAATCATATATTTTAATAAAATTACAATACTATTAATAAATATCACTATATTCAATACCTTTAACTAAATCAATATATTTAATATGTTGATAAAATGGATTCATATATTTTATAATGTGGGTAATATAAATTCATATATTTAATATTTTTGATAATATAAATTCATATATTTGATAGTGTAGGTAATATAAATACATATATTTCATAGTGTGGGTAATATAAATTCATATATTTAATACTGTGGGTGATATAAATTCATACACTTAATAGTGTGGGTGATATAAATTCATATATTTAATAGTTTGGGTGATGTAAATTGACATACTAATAATCCATAAGCTGACATTACTAACTCATAAATAATAATAAGAACCTATCTCTTGCTGACAGCCTGCAGTGGGGCAATGGCTTGAACACAATGCATTTTTAGAAAAATCTTTCTGGTAGCCAGTGTGGAGGATGGAAAGGGCAGAGGACAAGGCCAGGGATGAGAGGTAAGGGACCAGCTGGGAGCTGGGTTATGGACTCAGACAGTCACAGGGGGGAATCCCTATTCTCCCACTTGGGCAAAAGAGACTCCTTCTTCCTGTGCCTCAGTTTTCACCTCAGAGGCAGGTACATTGATGAAGCACGACTCCTTAGCAGGGGACGGCTCTCGACTAACACAGGGTGACCCACTCTTCCAGTTTTCCTGGAACTGTCCTGGGTTTGGCCCTAAAAGTCCAGCATCATGGGAGTGGCTCAGTCCCAGGCAAACAGGGATGGGGTCATCGTAGTACACGTCCCCCAAAGCCAGGAGCCTGCTTGGGAAAAGGAAAGGAGCCAGGGAAGGAGAGAAGAATCCTAAGAGACTGAAATTAACCAGGACTTGACTTAACTCTGTTGGATCAGAAAAATAATCTTTCTCAGAACTAGGGCTCCGGGAGCTAGGTTGGTTTGGCATTTATAGAAATGCAGACTGTGGCGTTTGGACAAAACATGATATGTATTTTAAACGGGTGGATGTTTCCTGGGGACCCGCAAGGGGAGTCCCGGCAGCCTCACCTGACCGGTGGTAGTGGTGCCACTTCTCCTGGGCGATGAGGCCCAGCCTGGCGGCCTCCTGGGCTCCAGAGCGCAATGCAGAGATGAGGGTGGCCTCCTCGGGCCCACGGGCCTCCCCGCTGCCCAGGGTCTGCAGCAGGTAGGTGGGGGGAGCGGCGTTCTCGTCTGTCCGGAAGCGTCGTGCCTCCAGCTCCAGGTCACGTGGCCTGGCGCTCAGCTGAGCTTTCAGCGCCTCCCACTCCTTTTCCTCGACCAGCGAGGGGACGGGACGGGGGCCGTACTGGTCACCTATGAGGGCCTGGAGGAGAGAGGAGTGTGGGGAGTAGAGGTTCAGATCTTGGCTTGGGCACTTAGATCTGTGACCCTGGGTGAGGCATACCGAGCCCTTAAAGTGGTCCTGGTGGTTGTACCATGGAGATAATTATATTAAAGTAAGCAGATAGGTGAGTGGGTCCCCAGAGGAAGAGTACCAGCAATGGCTTTCTAGACATAAGAGAAACCATTTTGGCCTAAGCCATTTTGTGATCTAAGCCTGGCTGCAATGCTTGTCCTTGAACACATCTCAGTAAATCAATGATCTTAAGGGAAGTGAGGGAATGCACGAATAATGGAAAAGCAGTCAAGAAACAATAGTCCAGTGATAAAAAGAGTCCCAGCTCCTCCTCAAGGGATATACCTATAATATATCTTTGAGTTCTGCAGGAACTAAGACCCCTACCCAAGTGGAGGGTAAAATGATGACGTGGACCCTCCTGACTTCAGTCAACTAAAACTTGGACTCTGTGAACCTTTGCCCCAATTCTATGCTGAAGTCTCCTCTGCTCAAGCCCCTTCATGAATATACACGTACCCTGAGCTTCAAACTTCCCCAGTTTTGCTGTTCGGGGAGACACTGCTTTGGGAAAGGTCCCTGGTGTTCCCCTTACTTGCTGCAAGTCATAATAAATCCTTCTCCTGATCTTCCACTTGTGAGTGAAACAATATTGCCTGCCATGCCAGTAAACAAAGGATGTTGCAGCCGTCGAACCATCACATTACAGCCTCCCCGATGGTGAGCCCTGAGGAAACTCAGGAGGGAAACAGGATGCCTGCTGTCAAGGAGTCCGCCACTGCAGCCACCTCCAAAGATGCACCCTGAGGAGACTCAGGATGTGAAAACACAGGATGCTGGCCCCAGATAGCTGAGGTGTATATCAAAGGAATAATTTCAGTGAGCCCAAACTCTTGCATCTTCCCATATATAGGAAAGCAATAAATTCCTTAACTTAAGATATCTGGTTTTCTTTAACAGTCATCTTTTGATATTCTTACTACATGATCTTTGTTGCAAAAACTCCTATCTGTATATGCTGGTTTCCCCTTTTCCTCTTTGGAGCAGTCTCTCTGTGTTATTTGAGATGCTGTCTCCCAGGCTTGAAGTCCTAAGAATGTCCACCAAATAAAACATAACTCAGCTTTTAGGTTGTGCATTTTTTTTTCAGTCGACATGATTTATCTAAGGATCTTAAACTGGAAGACTATCCTGGATTATCAAAGTGGGCCTGAAATGTAATCCCAAGAGTCCTTATCAAGAGACAGGCAGAGGAAGATCTGACACAAATAGAAAAGGAGAAGAAGATGCTGTGACAACAGAGGCAGAGACTGGGGGAGTGCAGCCACAAGCCAAGGAATACCTGGAGACCCCAGAAGCTGGAGAAGACAAGAAGATTCACCCTGAGAAAGCTAGGAAGGAGTGCGACCCTGCTGATACCTTGATTTCAGACTTCCGGCCTCCAGATTGTGAGAGAATAAGTTTCTGTCGTTTTAAGCTCCCTGCCCCCCACATTTGTGGTCATTTGTTATGACAGCCACAGGAAACACCTTGTTTACCTATTACTAGGTGCTGGCTTGTCCCAGCAATAGAGCTGTGACAAGAATGAAGGCCTCCCTTGGCTCTGCCCAAATCTCACGCTCTGATGTGGCCCTGGGGGCAGGACTGTCCCCAGTAGCAGCCAGGGAGCAGGGCCAGATGAGGGGGGAGGTGAACATGGGTCTCCAAAGTGCCGGGTGGATCCTGTCTTTAGAATTTGATATTTTGTTCCTCATGGATTTGGGGGGGTCAATTTTGATATTAAAAATAAACATTGCATTAAAATATTAATTATCTTGATAACTAAGATTTTGGAAGGATTTGCAAGGTCCCTGGGCCATTTGGGCCTGGGGGAAGCTCAGAGATCATCCTCCCTCCTGTCCCCCATCCCCCATGCCACCTGGAAGCTGCATTGTGCTTTTTTTTTTTTTTGAAAAACCAGAAATTGTATTTTATCATCACTCCTCTGCTTACAAAAACAAACAATAAAACGTCTATGAAGGCTTTCCATGACACTTAACATAACCCTTAGCTTTGGCCCGTAAGGCCCCTGTGAATTGGTTCGCGCCTCCCTGTCTCTCCAAGTTTATCTTGTACCACTAATCCCCTTTTCCATTTTGCTTCTGTCACACTGACCTTTCTGTTTCTGTAATAAATGTGCTCATTCTCACCTCGGTATGCGGGCCTCTCACTGTTGTGGCCTCTCCCGTTGCGGAGCACAGGCTCCGGACGCGCACAGGCTCAGCGGCCATGGCTCACGGGCCCAGCCGCTCCGCGGCATGTGGGATCTTCCCGGATGGGGGCACGAACCCGTGTCCCCTGCATCGGCAGGCGGACTCCCAACCACTGCGCCACCAGGGAAGCCCTGCATTGTGCTTTTGATTGCCTGCAATTTGAGTTGCAAAATCGAATTCTTCCTGGAGTTCATTTTCTCCCCACCTCCCTTTTTTCTTTACAAAATTTTTTTCTTTTCTTTTTTCTTTGAAACACAACAAAATGATCACTCATCAGCAAAATTAGAAGACTGGAAAAAAAATGTGTGAAGGAGATACGTAAGCCAGATGGTACAGCCTTTCAAACGTTAGGATGTATTTTAAAGCAATAATCAAAATTGGAAACGATACTCAACACTTTTTAATAACCTATAAGGGAAAAGAATCTGAAAAAGAATATATATGTATAACTGAATCACTTTGCTGTACACCTGAAACCAACACTACATTGTAAATCAACTATACTTCAATAAACAAATAAATAAAATAAAGTGGTTCAAACTTCCAGTTATAAGATAAATATGTCCCGGGGAGGTAATGTACAACATGATGAATGTAGGTAACACTGCTGTAGAGTATATCTGAAAGTTGCTAAGAGACTAAATCCTAAACATTCTCATCACTAGGGAAGAACATTTTCCTCTTTCATATCTATATGAGCGGATGGGTGTTAACTAAACTTATTTAATAATCATTTCATAACACATATAAGTCAAGTCATTATGCTGTACACTTTCAGTGCTGCATGTCAATTATATCTCAAGAAGATTGGGAAAAAAAAGAAAAATTGATGCCAACATACAAAGAAAAGTATAGAACAAAAGAATGAAAACACAATGGTAACTGTATAGATAAAACTTGATACATGATAAAGAAAGCTTTTCGCATCTGCTGCCAGGTCTTAGTCTTTTTTTTTTTAAGGAGACAATCTCTAAGGCAGCACTAGAACTTCTGGAAGTGCTGGAAGTGTTCACATCCTTGCTGTCCAATATGCTGGCCACTTGACACAAGTGACAACTGAACCATTGTAATGTGGCTGGTGCAACCAAGGAGCTGAAAGTTTAATTCTACTTGACTTTAATTAATTTAAATTTAAATCACCACATGTGGTTCATGGCTACCGCATTGGGCAGTGCAGTTTTAAGGCCAAACAGGCCTCATCTATTTGTCTTTATTTCCCTAGAAAACCGTTTTCATATGGGGACCACCCTCTCCTAATTCCTACATTCTTATCTCCAGGAGAGGTTTTTCTGGGAGCTGCTCAAAGCTTCTTTGTGATTAAGATGTATTGGGCAAAGCTACTTTCTTGACTTTTTTCGTCTTTACTTTCTAGGACAGGGGTAGGCAAATTTTTCCAACAAGGGCCAAATAGCCAATATTTTCAGCTTTGCAGGCCAGACGGTCTATGTGGCAACTACTGAACTCTGCCATTGAAGCTGGGAAGCAGCCTTGGGTGATATGTAAATGAATGGGTATGGCCGCGTGCCAATAAAGCCTTATTTATGAAAACAGGTAGGGGGCCGGATTTGCCCCATAGACTGTGGCTTGCTGACCCCTGCTCTAGGATTTATGAGCCAAAATGCCATAGCTCTTGGTGTATCTGAAACTTGGTGATGTAACAAATCAAAACCCTGGAATATCATTTGCTGGTCATAACCCAAACCATTAATTGTGAGCTGGGGGTTGTCCTGGTGTCAGAGGGAGTGTAGTTAGGGGCGAGAGAAGACCCTGATTGGTCTCACCTAGGGGGGAAGTGTGCCCCTGAGGCAGGCTCCAGATAGGGCCACAGAGTCTGCTCCCAACACCATGGGGCACACTGGAGAAAAAAATTTTCGATACCCTGTAGATTTCCACTTTCTCTATGGTTTTCTAGGACCTCAACGTTCCCCAGACAAAGTGAATGAGGTGAAAAACCCGGGGGAAGTTTCGGAGCAAATTCTAAGATCCCTTTGGGCTTCAACACTACTCTCCAACTCATCTGCTGCTTCTACTTGACTGCTAATGTCTGGATCCCAGCTAGCTCTGCAGAAAAATGAGTGCTGTGATTGATTAGCAATGTCTGCCACAGGCAGGCTACGAAGATTGGGTATGATAGCAGAAATGCCACCCACTTCCCTCCACTGACGGGTTTGGATAAGAAGTAGGGGCCATATCCTGGTGGTGGAATGAGAAGTAAGAGCTAATCCATCCCTCCCAAGAGACTCACAGCAAAAGCTGGCCCTGTGGATGTTTTCTGACACCAGCCAAGCTCCTCCAAGCAGAGTTCCGTGGTCATGTGGTTGGTGGCCTCGGTGTTCCGAATACCCCACCTCAGATCAACCACCTGGAAATAACAAGCGTGGGTTTGTCAGGAAGGTGGTAGGATGGGTGATTTTTTAAAAATTACCTTTGATAAAGGTGTAAAATTTCTTCAGTAATTAAAAAAAAATTTTTAATTAATTAATTAATTAATGTATTTATTGGTTGGTTGGTTGTGTTGGGTCTTTGTTGTTTCTCTAGTTGCAGAGAGTGGGGTCTACTCTTCATTGCGGTGTGTGGGCTTCTCACTGAGGTGGCTTCTCTTGTTGCGGAGCACAGGCTCTAGGCCTGCAGGCTTCAGTAGTTGCAGCACGCGGGCTCAGTAGTTGCAGCACGTGGATCTAGGGCATGTGAGCTTCAGTAGTTGTGGCGTGAGGGCTCAGTAGTTGTGGCACACGGGCTTAGTTGCTCTGAGGCATGTGGGATCTTCCCGGACCAGGGATCGAACCTGTGTCGCTTGCGTTGGCAGGCGGATTCTTAACCACTGTGCCACCAGGGAAGTCCCTCTTCAGTAATTTTTGATAGCCTCTCCTCAAAGAGGGATATCTGGGTCAAAAGAATTTGAATGACACCCATAATCCCAGTGTAATCATGAGAAAAATATCTGACGGACCCAGATTGGAGACATCCTGCAGGACACCTGGGCAGTTATCCCCAAGACTGCGATGGTCGTGAGTACAAAGGAGAAGACCAAGGAGCTGTCCCAGCCACAGAAGAGTGGGAAGCTGTGACAACTAAACGTAACAGGGTTCCCTGGCCAGAGAGGGGACACGAATAGAAGACCTGGTGACAGTCAAGTAAAGTCCAGAGGTTGCTTAATGGTAACGTCCCGATGTCCATTTCTTAGTTATGACAAACATGCCCCGATAATAGATGTTTACAATATAGGGGAAGAAGTAGGTGTGGGGCATATGGGAACTCTGTACCATAGGCAACTTTCCTGCCAATCTAAATTCTGAACTCAAAAATTTACTTAAAAACATTAAAAAAAAATTTTAAAGAGCTTGGGCATTTTCAAACTGTTCCTTTTTAAACGAGGACATGTCCACACTTGCTCGCAGAGCTTTCTTTGCAAAAGGGGGTTTTCGTTTGGCCAGAATCAGATGTGGCGAAGTCTCCCTGGCAACCGCACGCTTGTGGTCCATTTTTGCCTGCTAGGCAGAAGCTGGCCAGGCAGAAGGGTTCAATTCAAGTAGTGAAGCTGACCCCCCAGAAAGCTGGGTGAGGAGAGGGGGATGGGAATCAGAATGCTCCCTGCCTCCCTAAATTCCTTTGTCCAGAGGGAAAGACATAAAATTCCTAATAAACTACAGCATGGGGTGAAAGGAGTACAGTACTGGATGTGGCTGGAGGAGGAAGGGGAGAAGGAAAAAGTGTCAGCCACCAGCTCTGGGCAAGAACCTTCATCTCTCTGGGTCACTGTCTCTCCGACTGCGTCTTGAGGATGTTTACTGTGTTAGCCACACAGCACCTGGTGGACATTAAAGGGATGAACACGGGGTGTTTCATCGGTGCTCAGCACCTATGTTTTCCTTTTTAGTGTCTCTGCCATTGAACTATGTCTCATGATCAGTGGCGGGCAAAGTCAAATTCCCATCACAGCACTGCTTCTTTCTTAGTAGTATATAAATGCTGGTGGGGGCCGTTGGTGTGATGGATGACAGTTGTAAATGGCAAGGAGGCAGCATTACCTGAAGCTGAGACTCCAAAGACAGTTTGTTGGTTTCCGCTTGGAAATGTGCAGGCAGCAACATCCCCGCCCTGGGCTCGGTGCACTCTATTTGGGGCCCGTGGTGACTGCCTAGCTGTTACACCATTAGTGTCCCAGGAAAAAGGCACGTCTCACCTGCCTGCCCACCCCGGATATCCCACGGCCCTCTTAGATGCCCCCGAAGCTGCCCCAGTGCAGGGAGAGCCCGGGAAGGCAGGACAAAACAACAACAAAAGTGACACGCCCAAGGAGCAGGGTCGCAAGGCAGCCACTCCTAGTACTTTGTGCCACACCACCTGTGCTGACCGCAGTGCCTGTGGCCACGACCCCTCCACTCTCCTTTTTTAAGGGGATTTTAAGCCTCCATGGTGTAACGCTGGCACAGGGTCCCTCTAAGCAAAGAGCCCGTGTGACTGCCCGGGTGGCACACCCTCGTTCCCTGACGCTGATGCAGTGAGGAACAGTCGGGCAATTACCTCGGCCATGAGGCCGTGCTTCTGGCAGAAGGTCTGTACTACGGGGTAGGCGGTGCTCTGTAGGGCTTCCCTCTCTGCATCCGTATCTGCAAGGAGTGGCATGGAGGATATGAATAGGAAGAACCCAGAACTCGTCCCTGCCCCACGGCTCTACTTTTAGCCTCATTTGCTCCCACCAAGGCTGGGACCCTTCACAGTGAATCAAAAGATACAAAAAACAGGAGGTAAACCAGAAAGACCAACTACGCCCAGGACTTTCCTGTTGTTACTGCTAAAAGTCCCACATCCCAGGAAACCTCTCAGTTCCAGCTAACCAGGATGGTTGGTCACCTCAGGTTAGAATTGCCAGATAAAATACAGGACACCCAGTTGATTTACATTTCAGATAAACGATGAAAAACTTGATAGCCTAAGTATAGCCCACTCTATAGATCCCAGAGTTTGCATGTCTGATAAGCCCTGTTCAACTTGCACTTGGGATGAACACCAAATCATTTATTCGCATAAGTATGCCCCTCTCTGCACACTATTTGGGATACACTTACGCTTAAAAGATTATTGGTTGTTTATCTCAAATGCAAGTTGAACTGGGAGCCCTGGTTTTGTTGCTGGTGGTGGTGGTTTTGTTTTTTATTTTTCCTAGAACTCTGGCAGCCCTACCTATAGAGTAAACCTGGATTCTGAGACTTTTCCCACCACTCGACTTCACTGTGTGGCCTTGGGCGCAGTGTCAGGCTATCCTCGGTTTCCCCCTCTGTAAAATGGGGGTGATGCCTCTACTTTGCAGGGCTGCAAGCTCCCCAAAGTCAAGAACCTCTGCCTGTCTAGGTCACTGATAATTTCTCAGCCCTCAACCCAGGGGCTCAATAAATGTTGTTTTTGGTATAACTCAGGTGTTTTTGGTTTTGTTTTTGTTTTAATATCCGGAGAAGAGGTTATTAAACATTTACCAGCACACACCATGTAGTCTTTGCCTTCATGGAGCTTACAGCCCGGTTGGAGGAGTCAGACATTAAATAAACACATAACTTGAATAACTACAGCTTATGGGGCCTGGGGCTTCATGGGTTCCAGGACCTGCTGGAGCCCAGTATGACTACAACACATGGGTGAAGTGAGAATCAAACCAGATATAGTCAGGCTCTGAGCCTGGCTTATGGAGGAGGAAACAGAGGGTCAGGGAGGCTCTCCCTCACCAGTTCCTACGTGGGTCACTGTCCCGGCTGCATTCATATCCAGGTCTCTCAGAGGACCCTGCGAGCCATGCCCATTGCCCTGGCATCCCCTGAGCTCTCAGCCCTGCCCAGTCCCTTACCTGAGACCGTCGAGCTGATGAAGATGGCCACACTGCTGGATGGAAGTGCCGGGAGGGGGCCTGACTGACCCTGGAGAGGCCGCCGAAGGGTGCCCGGGCTGAGGGGCCTGACGTTCATGCTGCCCGCCCACCTGGACAGTCCTTCCCCAGGAAAGGACCTGGGCTTCAGAGACCTCACGCCAGTGGCCAGATGGCCTTCCTAGGAGGCCAGCCAGGCAGGGCCATCTGGAGCGGGGCTCCCATCTCACTCTCTCAGCTCCCCTCGGCTACCTGCAGGCTCTGTCACCTCCAGCGACCCCGGGGGGCTGAACCAGTGGCTCTCCACTGCTCTGCTTGGTCTGCGAGTGCTAATGGGGGGAATGTTGGACAGTGGTCTCCCAGCCAAGGCCCCTGGATGTTGACTCCTCCAGGCACCGGAGCCTTTTGCCCCTCAACCAATAGCTCCTCACCCCGGGAGCTCAGCGGTCACCATAGCAACTGTGGTTTCCTGGCGCTTGGCGTTGGGACCCAGGGACCAGCCAGCCTCCCAAACACCTGGGTCTCTTGGGGCTCCACGAAAGTTGAACCTGGGCCCAGGTGTGCAGATGGAGGCCGTGCGATGCTGGGAGGCATGACCAGTCCCGGCAGGACAGGCAAGAAGGACAAACTCAGTGGAACCCCCCCCACCCCATCCTGTGCTCACCGATGAAGCACAGGTGCCAGGTGTACTATTTAAGCCAGCAGTTCTCAACTGGGGGCCATTCTGCCCCCCGAGGGGACATTGCAATATCTGGAGACATTTCTGGTTGTAACGACTGGGAGAAGGGGCGCTACTGGTATCTAGTGGGTGGAGCCCAGGGACGCTGCTCAACACCCCACGATGTACAGGATGGTGCCACCACGGAGAATTACCAGCCTGCGAATGTCAGCAGTGCTGAGAAACTGGGCAAGCAGCTTTAAGTCAACTCTAGGTGAATCTCTTTGCCTGCAGGAAGTGTGGAGCCTGAGGACCACTCTCCTTGGTAAGAAGGGAGATTAGCAAGTCTCCAGAGGGGCAGTTAAGGACCTACCCATATGAAATTGAGATGTGTTCTTTGAAATAATCAAAAACACCACTTGAGCAACATGGATGGATCTTGAGGGCATTATGCTAAGTGAAATAAGTCAGAGAAAGACAAATACTGTATGATCTCACTTATATGTGAAATCTAACAAAAGCCCAACTTAGAACAGAGAGTAGAATGGTGGTTGCCAGGGACAGTAGGGTGGGAGAAATGGGGAGATGTTAGCCAAAGGGTACAAACTTCCAGTTATAAGATGAATAAGTCTGGGGATCTAACGTATAGCATGGAGATTATAATGAATGATACTGTATTATACACTCAAAAGTTGCTAAGAGAGTTAAATGTTCCCACCGCAAAAACGAAATGGTAATTATGTGACATGATGGAGTCATGTTAGCTAATGCTATGGTGGTAACCATCCCGCAATACATAAGTACATCAAATCGACACGTGATATACCCTAAACTCACGCAATGGTATATGTCAATTATATCTCAATAAAGCTGGGGGGAAAATAATCAAAAACATGATCAGGGAAAGACCTTCTCAGGATGTGAAAATGTTAATTGAAAATAAGCAGTTTTGAAAATTCTTTGGTGATCTTGGTCATGCCCACCCACCTCTCAATGTTAATAAACCACAGACAGGAGAAATGGATACCTTGGCATCCATGGCCTTGCTTGGAGTGCCGGCTCCTCCATCACCTTCTTGGAGGACTTAAGCAAACAGCCTCTCTCCTGGGACATCAGCTCCATCTTCTGTGAAATGGGAGGGAGAACAACTCAGGGGTGGGCTAGGGTGAGGAGAGAGAGGCATTCGCCTCAGGATCAACATGTAAGGAAGTACAACGTGCCTGAAAATCAAAATGAATGCCAAAAGGTCTGTGATGAACAAAATGTGAACGAGGTATTTGGGAGAAAGGTATGTAACGTCCCCACTTTACATACGGGCACTCAGTAAATAGTGTTATCAGTTCTACCTAAAAGTCTGAACTTTTTCATACCTTTTCCTTCTCTGCCTCAACTTCCCTTCCCTGCCTGTCCACCCAGCAAAGACTCTGCTGTTCAGGGGTCACCAGAACCACCCTAGGTTTGGAGGATTCACTAGAAGGACTTGCAGAATTCCCAAAAGCTGTTTTACTCACGGTGATGGTTTATTACAGTGAAAAGATACAGATTGGGACTTCCCTGGGGTTAAGACTCTGGGCTTCCACTGCAGGGGGCGTAGGTTCAATCCCTGGTTGGGAAACTAAGACCCCACATGGTGCGGCCAAAAAATAAAGAAAAAGGATACAGATTAACAGTGGTTGCCTTTGGGCAGAGAGTTTAAAGGCCTTGATTGGAAGGGAAACTTACTTCTCATGATGTAAGCTTTTATACAACTTAAGGTTGATTTTAAATATTGCATTTTCCATTTTAAATGCTAGTAAATAACAGAAAGGACGCCATCCTGGTAGTCTTTCAGAGCTCCAAAATGCCTCTTCTAAATGCGAGAAAAACAGTTACACTTGATGTCTGTTTGATGTTGTCTTGTTTTTGTAAATGTTTTATCGCTAGAACTGTGAGCTGAAAGGAGATTGTGAATGTAAGAATATTGGTTCTGTGAAAAAGATTAACAAGCAAGTTCTACTTGAGATTGGGTAGTTAATGAGGGCCTCTTTGAGAAAGTCACCAAAAAAAAAAAAAAAAAAAAAGATGCAGATGAAAACAGCCAAGGGAAGAGGAGATGCATAAGGCAGCATCCAGGAACAAAACAGTGTTGAGCTTCCAATTGTCCCCTCCCAGTGGAGTCATGTGGGCAGCCTTTAATTCTCACAGCAACAGTGTGTGACAATATGCATGGTGTACTGCCAACCACAGAAACTTACCTTAGCCTTGTTGTCCAGGGTTTTCTCTGGTGTCGGTCACATAGACATGGCTGACCTCAGTTTCCAGCCCCTCCAGAGGTCCAGCTGATACTACTTGGCCCAAGTCCCCAGCTATAAGTCACATTGTTAGCATAGATTATCTGGCATATCCCAAGGTCCCCAGGTAAACCAAGACACTTTTATCGGGCAGGACATTCCAAGGACTTAGAGATCACCTCCCAGGAGCTGGGCAAGGGCCAAATCTTTCACGTTCAGAGTGTGGACAACCCAGGCCTGCTGAGTTAATTCTTTGCTGCACAGACTCAATAAATATTGTGACACTGAGTTGACTGTCACCATTTTATGGATAAGGAAACTGAGGCTCAGAGTGAGAACTTTCACTAGCCTGGAAGGGCAGAGTCAGTGAGCGAGTGCTGGTCTGGGACCCTGTCCTCCAGGGAAGTCCCAAGGCCAGCCTGGCCATCCAGCCACCTTCCCACAACTCACTGGACCCTCTGATTCAGGTGCACCCTGCTGACTTCACCCAGGCCCCAGCTCTGGACTCCAATGTTGGTTTAGGCTTTCTCTTAGCCCCTCCTCACAAGTCTCCTGACCTTGAATTTGCATCCCCTAAATCTCTGTTCCTTCCCCCATTTCCCTGGGTCCCCAGTAGGCCCCTTGGACCAGACCTCACTCCAGTGCATGGCCATGTTCTCTTGGTTACCACCTCCTGACCAGGAAGATTGGAAGGTTTTGACCTTGACACACATGCTAGGCTTTTTTTCTATTCCTCTAGCCCAGACTTTTCCAATCTCAGCACTGCTAACATTTGGGACCAGGTCATTCTTTGGAGTGGAGGCCATGTTGTGCATTGTAAGATATTGAGGAGCATCCTGGCCTTGGCTCACTGGATGCCAGTAGCAGACACCGCCATACACACATACACACACGCACGCACACACACACACACACACACACCAAGTTGTGACAAAAATCTCTGCAGACGTTGCCAATGTCTACCGGGGGCAGAATTTTGCCCGATTGAGAATCCCTGGTCTACACTGGCCAATTTATTTCAGTCTCAGTGCCTTTGCACGTGCCATACCTGAACTAACCATCCCGAGTCCTTTCATGTCATTCACATTTTCAGCTTAAAATCACCTCCTGAGAGGCTCTCCCTGATCATCCCGTTACTCAATGACCTCCCAAGTCACTCTCTATTTTAATTCTCTGCACCATACTCACCACCAGCTGAATTTTCTTCTTTGCTTGTTTACTGTTTGCCTCTCCTGCGAGAACATGCCTTCCATGTCTGCCAAGGTCGGTGTGCCTGGCACATAGTAGGTGCTGAGTTAATAAGTGTCACATCGGCAGGCTCATCCACAATTATCCATCTTTCTCAACTCCCGTTTGTCACTGCAGACAACTAAGCAAGCCTGGATTCCCCAGGAAGGACAGAGGTTTTCCTTGGGGACTCCAGTCTCCCTCTGGCTCCTGCTGGTGGTGGAAGGGCCAGTTTAGAATCTTCTGGGGAAGTAGGTTGGAGAAGTAAGTTTTCTGGGTTTGGCGCTGCTGGGAAGGCGTGCCCCCAGCAATCCTAGTAACTTTTGTCTTAGGTACTTCACAGGTCTCTCCCGGCCAATTCTCCCAGCAACTGGGATAATGAAAGAAATTGTTTGGCTCT